ATTTCATTTGTATTATATTACGAAAGCAGAAACACCAAAATCTTTTATGTTCTAGTAAAGTACATTTAACACAATAAACCCTATTGAAAAATAATATCACATTTTGGTTATTTAACAATTTAATAATGACAAAGTTTAAAGCACTAAGGAATATCCAAGCAATGGGAATTTCATATAGATTAATAATATGTATGTTATTTATTATATCGTAATTATTGACATTAAACATTCTGATAAAACCAGATTACCAACTTGGAAAACTTAAAGATAAGAAATGAAGCTAAAAGATATAATTAAAATTAAAGAAAGTGAGAATATTCCCATCATAAATTAACTGATAAGTATGATGCGTGTAATATAGTTATTGCAATATACAAAAACAATGTATTCAGTCGGTTCGCCAGTGTTGCCTTCACTAAAATAAAATAGTGAGTCATTTGTACAACAAAATTCATAAAATATAAAATTAATATAAGAAAAAAAATAGATATTGCAGAATGGTGGCTTAGTTATATTTTGATAAATATAATAATATTAATTCCTAAGTAGTCTTAGAGCAGAAGAATTTTTATGTGTACAGGTGAAGTTTGGACTGAACATTTTCTTTGACATTTTATTAGATTTTTTGACATCTATCAAAATTGGTGTATGGCTTAAATAACTTCAATATTTAGCATTTATAGACTCTGTGGAAAAAGTGTTTCGTATTATTAAGAACCGTACTTTTAGCAAGCTTCTTCGATTATTTATGGCATTTTTATTTTGGTAGATAACGATTGCAAATATATGTAGATCTATAATTAATATGATTGTCATTTGACTTCATCTTTAAATTTATTAACGCTTCTATAACTTATTGTTTAATTCATATAAATAAGCTAATCCGCAACTTATTAGGAAGGAATGAAATTATCACGAAACAGTACAAAAAAATGTGATAAATACAAAAAAAAGTGGGCATATTCATGTCATTGTTCGTACCATCGTTTAAATAGTGTCGCTATAAAACATCGCAGACAATTTGGCGGGAATTTGGGCAATGATTCAAAATATTTGAATTTTATATAAAAACTAGCTTTCCGCCCGCAGCTTCGCCGCGTGGAGTTCGGTTATATCGCGTTTCCAAGAGAACCTTTCAAAAGTCTGGGATAAAAACTATCCTATGTTCTTTCTCAAGGTCAACTCTATCTCTGTACCGAATTTCATTAAAATCAGTTCAGTGGTTTAGGCGTGAAAGCGTAGCAGACAGACAGACAGACAGACAGACAGAGTTACTTTCGCATTTATAATATTAGCAGGGATAATTTTTACAATATATAACATTTGTTTTTGCTAAAGACGTGCAAAGTGGAGGAGTTTAAGTAGGAAGGCAGACCCTGGCTAAAGCTGGGAAATTGCCAGGAAGAAGATAACAAATGTTTTTCGTGCCAGATACTTACCAAAAACACACTGACATAATTTATAATCAGCAAAGAGAAGAAAACAGTTATAAATTTAATTATAGAAATTACTGACTTTTGAAAGAGAATTAAAACAATACAACTTCGTTGTAAATCACTAGTTTATTTCAAATTACCACAGATAATTAATAATTATATATTAAAATGCTCTTTAAATAATCACTTTCTTCTCGAATCATCTCCCTCTGGATACATCACACCGCTACACACCTCGCGCGCCGCTAACTCATCCCTTAGTCAAAACAACTCCTTTTTATTGCAGTAAATTTCTTATGCGACTTCAACAAGGTTGCGTTAAACGTTTAACTCTCCTGGGGGGATAAAAAGTGACAACGCGAGAGGGAATGCGTGGCGCTCGAACGCATGCGGGCAATCAATTGTAACTTGTAAGTAAAGATAATAAAGTTTGTTTTAAACACTAAAAATTCTTTAAAAATTAATTGCTACAACTCCCTGTTTTCATTTGAACATCACGAATTTCTTCTACCTTCTTTAACGCCGAGTTATAATCAGTTCTTTTTTTATTTATTTATGTAAATAATTATTTACAAAATTTTAGTCCCACGTGTTTCGTTTTGTAATCATATTTTGAACATTTAATTAAATATGTACTATATGAACAATGTGAAATGAAAAAGATTCGTAGTAAAAATAAACTCATTTGACGTAATTTCTTATCTTTATTACTGCGAGTGTTATTAGTTTAAAGTGCACTAATTAAAATAAAATTGTAATACATTTCTTATTATTAATTAATGTTTATTCTATTCTATACTATGCAGTAGTTATAACAATGAATTGTAAGCTTTACAGAACTATAACCTACTGTGATTTTTGAACTGTATAGCAATTATGAGTATGCTAAATTTAAAACTTAAAATTGTTTACTTCGTACACAGAAAGATCTTGTTTAAAAAGTATAATCACGTGCTTAGTTTTAATATTTGAATTACAACATATTAACCAGAAAAGAGTGATGATGGTATCAATATGAAAAAAAGACTGAACAAACAACATATAATATCGACATTTAAATGAAACTAATATTTTCGGATTTACAAACTACCGACGTTTCGGTTACTTTACACTTTACAGCTGCCGTCTTTTTTTGCTAAGAGTTATTTACATACTCCAATTAAAGTGGGAAATCCTTAAAAAGAGAATGTCTTTCTAACTTATATCTATCTATTCTCGTCCTGCCATTAAGAATTTTTAATAAAAAAAATTAAAGTAAACAAATATTTACGGATTACTATAGGTTATTTTATTATTTTAAACTATATACTTCCGACGTTTCGGTTACTTTACAGCAACCGTGATCATTAAGACGAGATGAGAACGCGTAGTAATCCGAAAATATTAGTTTCATTTAAATGAATACTAGTAAGTCTTAGATCTCATTCAAAACAAAAATTCCTTTCCCTTAATCAACTTGGATCGATACATTATTGTAAGATTAATATTATAAATATCGTTAAGAAGTAATTTTGGTAGCTGCTAAAGATTTTGAAATTTAAGATTTTATAAGAAATATGGTAAGGGCTTGTTTCGATGATATTTATTCGTATATAATTAAAAAAAAAAATGGGAATGTTGTGATTTAAATACAATTTTTCAAATTCGTGTATATTTTTAATATTTTCCCTCCATAGAGTATATAATTGTCATTGTAATAGAGAATGTTTTTTTTTTTCTTTATCTAAACTATCAACGGTAATCCACTAAGTGATACAAGACCATCATTATTCTTAACACATAATTCCTTCTTGCATTATCCCATCCCTATAAAGTGTAAATTAGATATTCGTTCTTATTTACTTTGCAAAACAATTTTATTACAAAAAAGGTGTTAAAGACTTTTAAGTTATATTCAAATAAGAGATGAATGATACATATTATGCAATGAATATTTACTTTCTAAAGTCTATGGCAAAACCATATCTTTATGAAAGCAAGTGGATTTTTCTAAAAATAAACCCTTTGGATCTCAGGAGTCACAAAATTTATCTTCAAGATTTCTTAATTATTATTGTGGCTTACATAATATAAAGGAGTAAGTTCTTTTATATTAAAATAACGCCTGTTCAAATATACGAGCAATAGTTCATTATTACAAAAGTGTCAACTTATTTTTTGCTCTAGCTACGTTACGTTTCAATTTGTTTCAACCGTGATCACAGGCAGACGAGATAAACATGTTATTAGTATTATACTAAAACCTTTAAAATTTACGTCCAGCAAAACCGCGAGGATGGCGTCCCTATCAGACATGTTGGGTAATTCAAGTAGAGAGAATCCCTTTAATGAGCTTGCCCATCTTATGCGTTTGCGCTGTCGTCGATATTCCCTTTTTTCCACAACAGGCACAACCTACCCGGCTTGCAAGCTTTCGGGCATTTTCCTATATGCAAGCAGAAGCAGTGTTGCCAGCATATTTTTTTCGAATAGCCTTGCCTGCGCTCGCGTGTAGTTAAGGAGCGAAAGTCTTGTTATACATAAAATGATGAGGCAGTTAAAGTTTTAAAATCCAAACTATAATATGTACATAAAAACTATTGAACCTGATTCTTGCTACAAAAGTTCTTTTTTTTGGGCACTAAATAGCCCCATCTGGTAACACTGAGCAGAAGTTGAACAGTTTACAGTTCCCAAAACTTACCAGTACTACGGGCTCACAAACTATCCAAACTCCAAAGCAGAGCTCAGACTTGTCGCTTATTGTCACAACAATGGACTCCACCAAGCTTGCAGTGATAAATTTACACTCATTCTTAATGACATAATTTACTACCAATACCTACTGGAACAAAAACAGACTATAATATATGAAATATAACGTAAGGGATATGGACTTAGTGGCGCTTGTTAAATAATTAAAAGATTACCACAGTTACAACATACATTCTTATAATTTCTACATCTGTTGCTCTATAGATAATTACAACTTTGGAACTTGAAATCCCTAGCTTAGAGGAATAAAATCGTAATATTAAATGTGCACAGAAAAGTTTAAACAGTGTAAACATATTATTAAAGATCTAGTTATTTATTAAAGACCTTATATATTTATAAAGTTTTGTTACGATTTCCGGAAAGAAAACCGGTAGAATTTACAAACAATTTCATTGCCGTTTGACAGTCGCGATAAAAGAGCAACACTTGGTGAAATGTGATTTTATTACATTTTTTAAATCTAAAGTTATCAATAAATGGTAATTTCGTTAAGATTAACATATTATTTTAAAAAGTTGTCAGTATTTACACATTTTCTAGTCTGCTTAATTAAATTTATGAAACGATTGTAGTGGTGAAAACAAAAAAAAAAATTGAATAAAAATTTAAACAGATATCAATAATAAGAAAAAGAGCAAAACTATACAAAAATGAGTAGATACACGTTAAGTGGCTTAAGAAAAATTGTGTCAACTAAATCGTAAGTACTATTAATTATACAGAATAATTATGGTGACAATAAAAAGTGTTTATTAAAATATTAAATCCATATATAACGATAGCTGTCCCAGGATATCAAATCACCGTATGTTAAACAACACATCGTCTACCTCAGTAACCGGTACAGTCCAATCAACTGTTGATTCTGAAGATGTTAAACGGCATGCGAAACAGGCAGATGAATGGTGGAATCCAAATGGAAATATGATGTTGCTTCACAACTTCAACTTACTTAGGTATTATTACAAATAATATGAATCTTACTTTACTATTATCTGTTTAGGAATTTTACTATTGGCATAATATTGTTTGTAAAGAGTAAAAAAAGTTATTTTATTGTATTAGTTAGTCCCCTATTGGTGATATGTATATGAAAGATAGTACATATAAATATTTGCTTATATTTCAGAGTGCCGTTCATACGAGATGGTCTTGTACCACCTTCTACAGAGAGGACATTAGCTCCTCTTACAAATAAAAGTATTTTAGATGTAGGCTGCGGAGGAGGGATCCTGACCGAGGTTAATAAATAAGTCTTTAAAATACTGATTAAAGTATATCAACATTAAATACTTTATTAATATGGTGATATATTAATTTTTAGCAAAATTATTATTATATGTATCATAAATATGTTTAAAGGCATTAGCAAGAATTGGAGCAAATATGACGGGAATTGACGCAAGTAAAGAGCTCATAGATGTAGCAAAACAACATAGTGTAGCTAATCCCAAGCTAATTAATCACCGACCAACATATTACTGGACCACAGTCGAGGTATATAAGAATATATTTCTTTACTCTGTATATCGATGGCTCCTATGTATAACGGCCAATGTACAAAATAAAAAAAATTCAGTAAAGGCATTTTAAGTTTAATTTAAATGTACTTTTACATGCAACTATGACATACATGTACATCATTTAAGCTTGAAAAACTTTTTCCTCAACATACTAGTTTTTTTTAATATATACATATTTGTATAATATAAAGTTTGTTACTTTTGCTTTTTTACTGCAACAAAAACTAAGTCTTTCCACCAACAAGTACACATTTATAAATGGATGTTGTATAATACTCTATTATGAGATTTAAAGCAAAAAAAATGAAAATGGTTAAATTGCTACTTCTTCTACCTGGCAATTTCCCAGCTTTAGCCAGGGTCTGCCTTACATGCTACATTGGCGATACATAGGACATTGACATATACAGAACGGTTAAAAAAGTCTTATATATCTAAATTTATTGTTAACAGGAACACGCTGAGAAGTTTTGCAATCATTACGATGCTGTTGTAGCATCAGAAATCATAGAACATGTAACAGATAAGGAATTGTTTGTTAAATCTTGCATTAAAGCACTAAAACCGGGCGGAAAGATATTTATAACGACTCCATCAAGAACGAGACTCGCACAAATATTTGTAATATACTTAGCGGAATATGTATTTGGTATTGTGCCCAAAGGAACGCATGAATATGAAAAATTCATGACTCCAAATGAACTGACATTTTTATTAGAAAGAAGTTAGTATATTGTTCTTATTAATATTAATTAAAATCTTTTCTATCTGATTGTTATGTATTAGTTATGCTTGCTCGATATTTTTAAAATAATAATATGATGTCAAGAGTAATATAGGTAGATTATTATATTTGTTGCTGTCATTCAGTTTGCTACTTATACTGATAAATTTAATTATCAGTAAATCTTCATCTTTTTACATATTTTTTTAATTACAGTTTTATAAAGTTTATTATATTTTTTATAAAAAAAAATAATGAGTCAGTATGTTAATGAACTGCTTTTAATTTTATGTTAATTAATTGTGCACATATATTAGTATACAGGGTGACTGGTGAATTACTATCAATATTTAAGGGGAATACTCGGTACATGATTCTTATTCGAATTATGTAAAAAAAAATTGGTACTTAATTTTTAACCAAATTTCCGTATAAATAAATGAAGTGTGGACACGTTCCAAGTGTGGACGCGTGCGGCGGCGTGCTGATACAACACCACGCCGCCGCACGCGTGTGTGTGTGTGTGTGTGTATATACCTAATCTGTAGGGTGTTCACACGATGCGTAATTAATTACATAACTTTTGGTTAACTTTACTTAGAAGTTTATTAATATTTATGTTATATTAATTTTTATTTTGTCATATATGATCGTCAAATATCACGTCCTCAAGTATCGATAGTAATTCACCAGTCACCCTGTATATTTAAAAAATATTCATATTGACCACAGAAAATATTTTCTATTTCAGATAACTGTCATGTGGAATTGATCCATGGCATTATACTCAACGTTTTGAACAACAAATGGTCATTCATTAGTTCTACGGACATGATTTTCGCTATTCAGGCTGTGAAATATGAAACTGATAAAAAATAATATGAAAATTTATTTAAGGAAAATATCCTAGAAGTCTGAAACAAAATTGTCTTGAAGAAAAATATCTTGTAAATTTACTTAAACAAATTGTCCAATGATATCTACTTTCATGTTGAAATATTAAAAGTATTTGAAATTTATCTTACTGTTTCAATGTATATTACAAATATATTGTTAATAATATTTTAGTAAACTCTAGTTTGATTAAATTGGGAAAATTTTAAAAACTTTCAGCCGAAATTACTTTTGAAATTAAATTATAAGATATATAGCATTTAACTGTTTATTTAAATAATTAGACATTACTATGTAAATATACAGAAGAGAAAAAGCCTTAAAAAAACGAATACTTTTTGCAATACATATATGTTAATGACTGCTCATTAACATATATTGCAAAATAGTAGATTGAAAAATCTGTTTGTAAATACGTTTGTTTGTTTTTAATTCTGTGGTCCCAAAAAATATAACTATATAATAATGCATATAGAGTCTGTTCTGTAAAATGAAAGTCCATTGAAACAGGATAAATGTTGCAAATAATGTAGTTTTTTTACACGACGTACTTAGTTATTATAACGATTGGAATTGTATTTGTTTATAGTATATATCCTAGAAATAAATATCAAAAGTATGCCATAAACATATGATATTTTACTTGAAACACAGTTTTTTAGCATAAAATCTTTTAAATCCCATTGTTAGTGTCATTCATTAATCCGTCGACTCTAAATTATGATATGCCAACAAAAATATAAAATACTAAATTAAAAGAAAAATTCATATGAATTAGCTTTTTCTGCAAGTTTATATCAGTGCATGAATGTCAATACGGGCAAACTGTTTTTTTTTGTACGTAACCAAATAAACGTCTTCGTTTCCCTGAAAAAAATAACTACTATTTTTTCCCGCCATTGGGGAAATTTTAATGAAATTATTGATGAAATTTTAAATATATTGAATTAACGAAGATTCATTATAATATGAATATATTTAAATTTTATATGAGTTGGGAGAGGACAACACTGCATTTACTGCAATACTTTTCGTATCCAGAGTCGTAATAACAACTACAAAAAAAATATGCAAAACTTTTTAAGCTATAGCTTTATTCGCACTGGAATCGTGGAATATTCGGCTAATGTCAATGTTTTTATTTGTTGGTACTACAAAGTACAAACATTAGCTTAAGTGCCAATCGGTATTTTAATTGTCACCTTCACCGTCATAAATTTGAACGAACGTCAAATACTTAATTAGTTACGCTACAGAATTTCTAAGGTAATATATTAAAACTAACATATATTTTAGGTTAAACAAATATTTAATTTATAATTATTATTGGGTTGTCTTTAACTTACTTAAAATTTATTGTTTTAAATATGTATGCATACACAGTTTCATATAATAATACTTTTGTTTCATATTCGCGAATATATTTTGTTTATTAACACGATCTTTAAAATGTATTTTTGTTGACGTCAATGGAAAATAATAATTTACATTTCATTATCTTTTTTTTCGTGTGATAGTCCGAACACTGATGTTATCTGTCGTTACTTTATATGATAATTACTTACACATCACTAACAACTCAAAAAATTATAAATCTCCATAATATTACCATCTTTTTAGTGTATTAATTTTTACATTTAATATGAAAATTACAGGACAAATAAATAATACACTTGTAGAAAAATGTCATAGGATCATATTGCATTCAATATTTATTGTTTTTCTATCTTATAATTAAAAATGTATTCCTGCTATGCTATATTAATAAAGACATTATCTTCTTTCGCCTCTGCGGAAAAGATACAAATCAAGATGTTTAATGTGATTCGTAGTTTATATAAAAAAAATCCAAAGAATCTGTAAAAGGTTTACTTAAGCGTATTTAATAATATTGGAGAACAATTAAGACATTTCAGATTTCCAAGACTAAACTGAAGAAATTTTCACGTTCTCATTGAATGCCACTTTTTTGCATTTCCTTTGTTTGGTCAATTGTCCCTTTCATAAGAATCATCTGACGTCCACTAGATGGCGTTATTATTACTTAAATATTTTACAGTAATTACAGGATTTGAAGGCATCGATCACTTGGAATATCCAAAAAATATGAAAATATTTCCTTACACACAGTATAAATAACATTTATGTATAAATTATACATAATGTCCGTAAAGAGACGAAACCTCTCATCATTCCATGTAATCACCATGCGGGAGATGAGTCCATCGGTGTATGGAGAGGAGCTTCAACAGCGCCTGGGACTTGTAACCCAGGTGTAAGTTTATGGGGCCCTATCTAACGCGAGTTAAACGCTCACCTCCACTGTCCAAGCTCCTTTCTCTACGTAACCTTACGAACGAAACGAACCTTCCAAGAATGAATTGATGTTAGATCTAACAGGCCCAAGTATTTTAGTAGGTGGTTGAGAGATTTGGCTTTTTTACCTCTGGCTTCTACTTCTACCGCGTACAAATTTATAACGAACCTATTCTTAAAAAGTTTGTGAGCTCGTAATATTTGTTGACCTTGATGGTATGGTCTTTGGGGATGTTGGTTTCCCAAAGAACCGTAAGCTGTATTTTGCACAACGCGCTTTAAAATTAGCGAATATTAAAATATGTCTTGGCTCGGAAATTTTATATTACTTCTCATGCGTATGTACGATTATAGTCCAATCCGAAGCCGCTTTGATGATAAAGTAAGGTTTGACATTTAATTTTGTAGTGCCTTCTCTCGCAAAACCTATTAATCGCTAGTTTGTGGTAATTTTCTTTTTGCATCTGGCTACGGAAAGACTAACCGCTTAACCGCTTCACATATGATTTCTAAAACCCTATCGTGACGCCGCGAGTAGTGATCGCTATCCAGCAAATGCTTAGCAGTTCCACAGACTCACCGCAGATATAGCAAGTTTTTTCGGTACCTTTAAACCCCATTTTACTAATTTTTTTCGATCTTGAAGCGTTATCTGGAAATCATTGAGATAAAATTTTAGCAGTGCTGGCGACCAGTCATGAATTAAAGTGCGCCATTTTAGTACTAATGGAATGCAAAAATCTCCACTTCTCTAAGCTCATTGCATCTTATATTTGTAACTCTCATTTTTCCGAATAAAAATCTTTAATCCTAACCCTACTGTAATCTGTTACTTTGTGCTCTTATAATAAATTGTTTAATTTAACTAATTGCAGGTGACCAAGATTATTGTCGCCTAGGCCTTTGCCTATACATACATTTTTTATTGGTTCCCTTTTCTTCCTTCTCATTTTTACCTTGAACGTATTTTTCTTTGTTTTTATGAGCATAACGATTTTGAGGTGGATATTGATCGTGAAAATAAATATAAACAATATTTCGGAAGATTTAGTTATTAATTAAACTTTCCAAATTTCCAATTTCTAACTTTGAAGATTATTATTTCACAATTTCCGCAACTGAAAATTAGCATCGTCGATTATAGTTTCTTCGTAAAATAGGAAAAAACATGACAAAAATAAAAATTATATGCTAATATTGAAATAATCAATAATTTTGTTTGTATAAAAATGTTTCAACCCTCGCATAATAAACATTAACAAATTAACTGAAAATCTTTGTAGTTATTGTAATATTTACATTTTATTTGTTATTCTTTTAATATATTTCGCAAATTAATGCTGCACTGAAGCGTAACGATCGGTGTGTACGTTAATGAGACTAACTTCTACTAAGGGTTATGGTTATGCCTTAAGACGACACAGTAGCGGGACAAGTCTCGTCGACCCAACACACTACAGAGTAACTCAAACATTAAACGATTATAATCACAGTTTAAATTCTGCACGCCATTACATAAAGAATAATAAAATTATATTTAGTTTTTTACAAATTAAACAATATTTAAAGATTATCAATTCGTAACAATATGGCGAACGGGTCAATGTCGTTTAACCAATCAACTGTTGATCCTGAAGATGTTAAAAGACATTCCAAACTGGCTGAGAACTGGTGGGATCTGAACGGACCTATGAAGCTACTCCATGTATACAACTCAGTAAGGTTAGTACACACTGAGTACTATCAATACATAGTGAATAATCTACCTAATACGTATAAAACAGCTGATTCTACCTCGTTAAATAATTACATACATACTTAGATGCAGATAATGTCTTAGATTTATATTTCTACAAGCTTTCCGCCCGCAGCTTCGCCCGCGTGGAGTTCGGTTATATCGCGTTTCAAAAAGAACCTTTCAAAAGTCTGGGATAAAAACTATCCTGTTCATTCTCAAGGTCAACTCTGTCTCTGTACCAAATTTCATTAAAATTAGTTCAGTGGTTTAGGCGTGAAAGCGTAACAGAAGAACAGACAGAGTTAATTTCGCATTTATAATATTAATAGGGATTGAATTCATGATGTAAACTTTATATTCGTCGTGGTGGCCTAGTCCTTATAGACCCGCCTCTCGTGCACGAGAGCGAGAGTTTGAAACCTGGCAAGTACAAATGTAATTTTTCCCAGTTATATGCACTTTCAAAGAGTATTTAGACACCACTGACAGATGGTGAAGAAAAACATCATGAGGAAATTAACAAAGGTTTTTTTTATTCTACAGGCCTTTAAGCACAATTTTCTAGTCATGTGACCGTTAGCATACTCGCTACTTATTTTCAATAATTGTACATCACTTCAAACAGATTTTACAGAAATATATACGTGCAAAAACTTATATTGTATGTTTGTTTGTGTATTTTTTCTTCAGAGTGCCGTTCATACGAGATGGTCTTGTACCACCTTCTACAGAGAGGACCCTGACACCTCTTGTGAATATAAGTATTTTAGATGTGGGCTGCGGAGGTGGAATACTTACAGAGGTGCGATATTCAATTTTAATACATTTTGTTAATAAATACTTACAATAAAAATTGAGTATAGTAAATATTATTTTTATAGTAACATTTGTCACAAACATCAAAAAATACATAAGTACTTAAATAACAAATGGAAGTGACAATAAGTAATTTTATGTATTGTATTATTTTGTTATTGAACATAATTTACTTTTATCATAGTTATTTGCACGGAAATCCATTATTAGTCATTATATATCTTTTTTTATTATAATGTCAATATTTTTTATCCATTTTAAATAAAAAAGTTAATATTAAAAAAGATCTTCTTAAAAGATTCTTTCGTTTAATTTTCCGATACGATCATTTAAGAATGTAATATTACCTTGTCTTTAAGGCATTAGCTGCATTGGGTGCTAAAATGACGGGCGTCGACGCTAGTGGAGAATTGATTGAAGTAGCCAAAGAACATACAAATAATAATAATGACATTATAATTAAACCAACTTACTATCACACGACGATAGAGGTAAAATGAGTTATTTACCTAACTTCTAATAAATATATAATTATTAATTATTTAATCTAATAATCATAGTATAATTATTAATTAGTTAATCTATCATCAACAGCAACACTCTGAACAGTTTCGCAATCATTACGACGCGGTTGTAGCATCAGAAATCATAGAACATGTAGCAGATAAGGAGTTATTTGTGGAATCATGTATTAAAGCATTAAAACCAGGAGGATTTTTTTTTATAACAACACCATCTAAGACGAGATTTACACAGATATTTAGTATATTTTTCGCCGAAAACATATGTGGGTTGATACCCAAAGGAACGCATCAGTACGATAACTTAATGACGCCAGATCAACTTAAGTTATTGTTGAACAAAAGTAAGTATTAATTTATTTATATGATTACGATTATTATCCAAATTATAATTATTTACAAGGTTAAAAAATATATTTACATAACGTGTTTTTTTTAATCGAAACATGTTTTTTTAAGTTATCATTTTGTTATGGCAACTTTGTCTTGCTAATGAAGTATTTAATATTTATGGCAATATCATAATAATAATTTTATTTATTTATTTATTTATTTATTTCTGAAATACCATCGGCATATTCACAAACTATATGTTGAAAAAAATATAAAAAAAAATAAACTTGTTCAGTGTGATACACCATTACAGGTATTTACATTATTGCTTACATGATAACAAAAGAACTAAGACATTTGAAGAATCTGAATACAATAAAATAACATATCAATAAAATAAAAAACTAAGATAAAATATCAATTACTAACTAAAACAAACAAAATAAGCTAACAAACATATAAATATCAATTATTAATTAAAACAGTATGTATTATTTTTTTAAAACTATTATTACTTTGGCTGTATATGTCGACGACATGGGAATCAATTTGTTATCAATTTATTATTTCTTTATTTCAGATAATTGTCCTGTAGAGGTCACTAGCGGTATAACATTTAACCCTCTAACAAGCAGGTTTTCTTTGACCAATTCAACACGAATGACCTTCGCCGTAAAAGCTGTGAAAAATGCAAATTAACTATTGTTTGACTTGCATCTATAAACAATAATAGATAACTGTGCAATAATCTGTAAGATTTTTATAAGAACACATTAATTAAACTATATTTCATACATGACTCGCGTTTTTATTTTACTTTTTATTATTGAAAAGCGATATGAAAGTGTCGTATCGAAAACTACTGTCCTACGACATAACCTACTTACTACCTACGAACTTAAATATACCTTTAATCCAATGTTTTTATTACGGGAACTGTTTATCATACATTAATTGCATGTTAATGGGAAAATTGTGTTAAGTCGTTAGATAGATAGATGTTACTAGTTCATTCACGCAACAACTATTAAATAAATTTTGATGAAACTTCTTAGTTATATAGCTTAGATAATGGACGTGGGCTGTAATTTATCGTAGAATTCCATGTAGATCAGAATCTACATGGAATTCTACGTAAGTAAGCAGATTACTCAGTAATTTATAAATATATTGTAGTCCAATTCTATTCTAGAAAACTATTGCAACTCCATTTTTTATGCGATCCTTTTCAATTGCCCTGTAGATATTATAAATTCATATTACGATGCAGCAACCTATTGCCACATTGTTTAAATCGAAATTACTTAAACAATTACAAATAATTGTTATTTTTCAACAACAGTTTTATTTTTTATATTCTTTATTTAAATACCAATAAAAAAGTTTCTAAGTACGACTTTTTACGATAAAGTAAATATTTTCAAAAATAATAATTCTCACATTTGGTTACTTTCGAGCTTCGACTTTCGACCCATGAAAAATATAAAAAAATATATGATGTATTTATTTAATTCTCTGTATAATTGTTATTAATATTATTTTATTTAAAAAAACCTTGTTTATATCTGTTTTATAATTGTTAATTTCGCGCGCTCACAACTATGCGTCATTTACCTTTAAGTATTGCTATCTCTTTCTGACACAAATACTGCTTTGGCTTCTCGGTGTCATAAATCATTATTCTTCATTTATCTTAAAACTATCAAATTTATTAATATTGTTAAAAAGAGCAATGTTATTAATAATAATTAAATTATCTACAATCAGTTTTTAATACATTTTTTATCAGATTATAGTATGTTCTTGTAATTATCTTAGTAATTGTTGCATTTTAATCTATTACATTTGAACATTATTTGAAATCACAATTATTAACAAATAATAATGATAAAAAACTGATGATGCAAGATGACATGCGTGCCAATGGACTCCACAAGAAGGATGCCGAAGACCGGACTAAGTGGAGGACACTGAGTGGGAAAGCGGACCCTGGGTTCTCCCGCCCTGGGCGGGACGAACAACCGGGACAAACGCTAGGGTGATGATGATGAATAATGATAAAAAACTAAACCCTTATTAGAAAAATATAAACTATTTCTTTATAAACAGGAAGTGTCATAAACATGTTATTATTTAGGTAAGGTATATTAAATGAAATTCAAGGATAGCAAGAGGTACAAGGAAAACTGACAATTAACATATAAATTACTATAAACTGTAATAAAATGTTACATTTTTAAAAGTTTTGTTTTGTTGGCTCGACCGAGGCATTAACGCCCTCTCACAGAAAATCGGTGTGAAGTAGTCTTTAAGTGAGACAGCCGGTTGCCCATACCCTATTCCTGCCCTTTCCTGCCCTTTCTTTTCCCTCCCTTTCCCGCCTTTTCCTCCCCCTTTCCCCAATCAAGGGTAGAAACACATCCGCAAATCTACGTTATGGTTGTCCATGGGCGACGGTACTACCTCCATCAAGTAGGCCGTCTGCTCGGTTGCCCCCTTTTCCCATAAAAATAAGCTGCAAGGTAACTGAAACGTCGGGAGTATGTTATTTAAAGTAATAAAATAACTTATAGTAATCTGGAAATATTCGTTTCATTTAGATGTTCGTAATTTTTTCAATATTAGGATGACATGGTATACCGTTCGATTTTAAAACAGCTTTAAGAATATCCATCTGCTAAATTTTGATTTATTTTTAACCCTGTCAAAGACAGTAAAAATAAGTTTGATTAACCTATTTTGCTTCTAAACTAATTATTCATACTTAGAAATTCATTAATATGTTTCTAATTACTATTCAGTTGCACTTACATACGACAAAGAAATCCTTCTTTTGTTAAACTTTATGCAACTGAGTCACTTATGATGTCATTGACCTCTGTATATTTTTTATGGGTAAATATAGGGTGTCCCAACTAGAACGCAATTTTTAAATTTTAAATAAAACACTGATATTAAAAAAAATACCGTGAAACTTTATTATATCGTAAAGTAGATAGAATGAGGTTATGTATGGAACAAGATATCGTGCAGATGGCCGCCGCGGCTTTGCAGGCACACGCGCGAACTTTGAATGAAATTTTCTAGGACCGTTTTGTATAAATACTGCGGTATTTCATTAATACAGCGTCCAATTTCCTCTTTTAAGGCTTGAGTCGTCGTCGGCTTATTCGCGTGAACCATCGACTTCAAAAAAACCCCAAAGAAAATAATCTAAAGGTGTTAAATCGCACGGTCTCCAAAACGGGAAATAACATGACCAGGAAATGACTGATGCAGCAATTGAATTGTTTCTCTGGCTGTATGACATGTGGCGTCGACTTGTTGAAACCACATGCCGTCCACATTCATTTCTTCGATTCTAGGCAAGAAAAAACTGGTAATCATTTCACGATATCGAACACCATTAACTGTTTGCGTTGTTGTTGTTGTCTTTACATCACTAACAGACTCAGTTTCGGCAAATTTATTCATTAATCTCTTTACAGTTGACTCTTTTTGAGTAATTTGCGAACTGTAGCCGCAAAACTTTCACCATTTTGGTAAAACAATTTTACAATGAAAATGCGTTGTTCATTCGTGTAGCCCTCCATTTTTACAAACCTTGTACCTTCTACAAGCAAATAATAACAATTGTTCAAATGTCAAACAATGGCACTTGAAATGGAGCCAAAGTTAAAAATTGCGTTCTTGTTGGGACACCCGTTATATTTTTTCATACAAAACATTTAGTCCTCGTTCCGTTATAACGAGCTGTAACGATTTTATGATACCGCATACCAAAGGTATGTTTTGTTAATTAAAAATAAAATAAATAATCCGTCGGAATTAGCAGGTTTTGAAGTAAAGAGACTTCTTTTAAAAAATTTTAACGGTAAAGGCGGTAAACGAGCAGACGGTCTGTCTGTTGCAGATAGTTACCGTCACTTATGGACATCCCTAACATAGTTTTGTAGATGTGTTGCCGACCCTAATTATTGCAGAGAGAGAAAAGGGTTGGAACAGGGAAAGGCGAACCGGCTCTCTCACTTAGAGGACGAAACCCAGCAAATATAGGATACTTAATTCTGATCTTCTGTGATAGGATGGTTCTTCCCCGGTCGAGCCAGCCCATCTTCGATCTGTAGTCTCTTGACCTCAGCTAGGTTCTACCGACTCAAATAATTATTGATATTTCGGTGATTGAAGATTTAAATCTAATTAAAAATTGTATTTGCTCAAAATTGCTTCAATGTTAAAAAAACATTATTGCAACTATATTACAGCTACATAGTCTTGCAATTTGCTAAACGTGAGGCTAATTCATACTTTGGATAGAAGTCTGTCTACCTGTCAGTAATTACACTAAGTATATATATTTTGATCACAAACGTTCGTCAAAATACTTAATCCACGTTATAGTGTTATACGATAACATTTTAACAACATTTAGTATAAAACAATTATAAATAGTTACGCCAAAACAAGCATATTTTTTAAACTATAAAAATTGACACTGTCAACTTTATGCTATTGAATACTAAAAGGCGCTTTAGAGCGGCAAAAAACGATAAAGTTCTTTTCTTATAACAAGTCTATATAAAATAAAACTTCTAAATCATTTACGTTTTACAATCAATATTAACCATCTTAAAAGATTAAAGCTAAATAATTTGAATTCATCAGATTAATGTGTTTAATTATTATGTAGATAAACTAGAGAAACTTATGAGAGGCTGTTCTGGTGTTGTTTGTGGTACGTGATTTAAGCTATTCGCTATGGTGCACTTTAAGTCATCTAGGTTTACTACCGCTGCTACCACGTCAAGGATACCACGGGATCTCGAAATCAGTATCCTACTAGTTCCTAGACGTGTCGAAAAGACGATCGACTTCGCTATTACTACTATGCTACTCTTTAACACACTGCACACATATAAACACGAGTTACAGAGTCAATTGAACTCCTTATTTTAAAAATAATATTACCTTGAACTTTTTAGATGTGTACCCTGATGATAGTGATTATATAAATATGTACTAAAACTGATGTACATTGTAACCGCAGTCATATTTACAACAGTTCAAGTAATCATTGTAACAGAGTTTATGAATGATTCTAACTTTCTTCTGTATATTTTTATTCCAAGGTGGAAAGTGATGCTATTGGATAGATGTACATATATCCAACGATATTAACGTATATAGTATATACGATATGTAGTAAAAATGACATTAATATATTTTTACAGCATTGTCAACAAAAAAGCTACATAAAATATTTTTTTTAATTTATTTTTAAAAAGAAACAAAAATTGCTTTTTACTACGTTGTATAAAGTTTCTTCTAAATAGAAAATGAAGTGTCGTATAATACGTTGTCTGTTAGGTATTGAAAGAAACATATGCCAATTCACAGATTCGAACCTTCGTATCCCCAAGACTTTCTCAATTAAACTATGTGTAACAACACATTTAATGTTAAAATCACATTTTTGCAATCGAAGTCTCATTCTAATTAGTCGTAATACATATTGTAAGTGCTTATAACAGTGTTTAATTTTGTCTTATTTGAGACTGTACACGTTACTTCTATACGTATAAATAAAATTGGTAATATTATTATAGCCGTTTTTTACTTCACGCATATGGATATATGTATATACAGTATATATATCAAAATATTTTTGTGTATTTCATGTCTGTCTGTCTATGTGTACTTTTATTGGCTGGTAGCTAACGTAATAAGTAGTAACTTCGACATCTTTTTTATCTCTATCCCAAAATTAAGCAAGAACACACACGAGGGGAACACGGGGCGGCAATTATAAGTTTATTTACTGTTTTTTGTTTTTTTTACACAGGCCCAGTCGCATCTATTAAACAAACCTCAAAAGAGAAGCTATAAGAAAATCATTTAGTTAAAAATCTACTAATTACAATATTTACTTATAGGATTCAATTGGAGCATGACATAAAAAATAAGGATATATTGGTAGAATAACCAATTAAACTGAACTTAATAAGCCAATAAAAACTCTTTATTGATGCATCATAAAAAATAATAAAAATGTCACAGTAAAACTCATTTTACGTTTCAGAGGTATCGTTTCTCGGGAATACAAAATTATTATTGCCTTTGTTCCATGGCTTGAACTAGTTAAAAAACGTGGAGATAGCTGATTAGCGATGTCACTAATAAAGCTTTTCAGCTCTCCCATCAAATTATTCAAAAAGGACGTGATAAGTTTTCTTCTTATCAGAAGACATGATTTGGGAGGTGAGTATCAATATGTAATTAAATTGAAACATTTTTCTTTCTATCATCTGTCTTGCAGAAAAAAATAATTCTAATTTTCGCTTTATTTTTTGAGTATTCGATGAAAAACTCCGCTATATAGCTGTAAGGCCAACAGCATCTGTGTCACAGCTCCGTAGGAAAGTCTGGTACCTGCTCGACCTACCTGACTTCTGCGAGGAGATTATCATACTTAAAAGAAACAATAGACAGATACCATTGACTGAACTTTGTAAAGGTAACGATCCACAACACCCATACGTACTAGAAGTATGGCTGCCTGGGAAACATAGATGTGAGTATCCTTCACGTTTAATGAGTAATATTTCTCACTAGCTTTCCGCTCGCGTGGATTTCGGTCATATCCAGTTTCGAAGAGAACCTTTCAAAAGTCTGAGATAAAAACTATCCTATGTTCTTTCTCAAGGTTTAACTCTATCTCTGTACCAAATTTCATTAAAATCAATTCAGTAGTTTAGGTGTGAAAGCGTAACAGACAGACAGAGTTACTTTCGCATTTATATTAGTAGGGATAAACCACATTTGCCTTATTATTACATCAGGAGCTTTAAATGCATATGCATTTTATAAAATAGTGACTATTTTTTATGGAAATAATTTGTGTATGATTATAATAGAAAGTATACTGACTGGGACTAAAATTTTTAGCGTCTTCCACACTTAACAACATGCTAACTATGGGCGACAATAAAACTATAGCGGATGACTTCGGAGCGCCGGAAAGCATTTTTGAGGAGAAAGTGACCCATGAATATAATGGAAATAACGAAAATGAAAGTATGTTTGATTTTATTAAAGAGTTATTTACACGGAAAGTCCAAAATACAGTTGCGTTAACCTAAGACGGTTTCCCGTTCTTTAGTTTTCGGTTATTCTAACACCTATCGTGACAAAAAATATATATGAAACTATGCTTCAAGTTATCACACGTAGCAAAAAATACTTCGTTGATGATGATATATATTTAATAAGAGGTTTAATAGCAATTAATTTTTAAAGGATCAGTTTAGAAATTACCAGTAGGTACGTCTCGAATCATCTTCTTACAGTAAAAGTCTTAAATCATATTTTACAGTAAGCGACATAGTTCTAGAATCTATGTGTCATCTTCATCTAGCGGTGTTAAATATTTTGCCTTTGAGACAGATTCTTTTCATGGCAACTATGTAATGCAATCACAGCTATTCGATTCTCTTTATCACACGTTAGAATAATCATAAATATTTTTCAATATATTGGCGCGAAAATATTAATACAAAATCAAGAACTGTATAACATATTCCAAATTCAAAAGTATTTTATTTATGAATGTAACATTATTTTAAAATAAGTTTTTTTTATTTGTTTTTGATAAAATTAAATGTAAGGATAATTAATTCATTGACTTAATTATAATTTATTTTCTAGATCACGTCGGTCTGCAGAAAGAAACCGATTTAAAAGCATTCCAATCTATAAAAAGTCAACAGGAAATAAGAAAATTTATACACACAGATTATAAAAAATCGGATTTAACTTGCAAGATATCTTCAAGTTCATTATTCTTTAAATTAAATGGACGGAAAAGCCGAGACAATTTTACCAACATGCTGCTTAAAATACAAAGTGATTTGACAACATTAAATACGAAATTATCAGATTTAGAGAACAGAATACAATATTCTTAGATGCTACAGATTATATATACAAGTGATGTTTAAATGATAACAGATTAAAAATGAAACAATTCCCAAAATATATATTTTATTAATCTATGTAATTACATTTTTACAATAAATAATTACAAGCTATGGTACAAAATTTGTGTAGATAGCAGCATGTGATTTTTTTTATTTACATAGTTTTATAAGTATTACAGAAGGTATTCATTTGAGGTAAAATTGATTATGACTAGGAATCGGCGTAACATAGAAAAAAACATCTAAAAATATATAAGCAATAACAATATTTAAACATTTCGTTAATGCTTTATATAACAATTTTAACTAAATTTATACTCATTAGCCTGGTATAAAGTTAAGCTCAAGTGCAATTCAAATTCCATTGAAATAAAACAGAACCATTTTGTAACAAATTAAATATAGATAATAAATATTTTTGGTCATTTCTAAATATCTAATATATAGTAATTCTTAGCTGTACAACCTCACACTGTTCCTGAGATGCAAATAGTAACCGTATATGTATAACACAAATAATGACCATGTATACTTCAAGTTTAAAAGCTGCTTCTTCACCATTGAAGTTGAATTCTGAAACAGATGACAAAAGAATTAGTTTAAATCTGTTATATGTAGATTAAATTTAAAACATGACTAAGTTATCGAACATATGAGTAGAATATAGAAAACGCTTATTGTATAAAATAGTTTTCCTTCTGTATAAAAACTAGCTGACCCGGCAAACATTGTTTTGCCATATAAAAAATAGAGGAAGGTGATAATAAAGTAAAAATTTTGAGTGGTATGTACTTTTTAACGCTACATATTAAAAACAAAAAATTTCATCTCAAATAATAATTAAGGGTAAACAACCCTTATGACTTATGGATATGAAGAATAGATATGTTCCGATTCAGTCCTACTCAATATGCTCACAAAATTTCATCAAAATCGGTCCAGCCGTTTCGGAGGAGTTCTTTGTCTAACACCGAGACAGGAGAATGTTATATATAAGATTATAAGGAAGGATAGATTGGCTATTAAAAGAATATGAATAAGAGGCCTTTATACGTAAAAAAACCTTGATAGATAAAAAAAATAATTAAAATTCAATACATGTGAAACATATTTCAATGTTGCCATACTCATTATTTTAATTCCAGCCATGACTAAGGAAGTGAATCGTTACATTCAATGATTTATAATAATATGTAATATATGCTACATTAAAAATAAATTTTGAAATCTAGATTACACACAATTAGACTGTGACCATAGCTAATAAAACTTTTTATTATTAATTAATAATATTTCTAATATAAACTATCTTGTGTTGCTTATTACATCTATTGTATGTGAAATTTCAAACAAATTAGATGTAGTCATTTCAGAACAAAAGACATACTAAAATTTAAAATAAAATCCATTTGAATTATGTAATTACACAAAATATTTTTTAAGCTCTAAATTAAAACTATGAATATCCATTTAAAAGATTCTCGAATGCTTTTATAGTTATTGTATATCCCTACTCATATTATAAATGCGAAAGTAACTCTGTCTGTCTGTAACGTTTTCACGCCTAAACCACTGAACTGATTTTAATGAAATTTGGTACAGACATAGAGTTGATCTTGAGAAAGACCATAGGATAGTTTTTATCCCAGACTTTTGAAAGGTTTTCTTGGAAACGCGATATAACCGAACTCCACGCGGGCGAAGCTGCGGGCGGAAAGCTAGTTGTATTATATATTTACAAAAGAAAGTCGTGTTAGTTACACTATTTATAACTCAAGAACGGCTGTACAGATATGGTTGAAAATTTGTGGACAGATAGCTTAGAACTAGGAGACGGACATAGGATACTTAATTCTGTTCGATTGACACAAAAAAAATTAATAAATACCAATATTAGTTAATTTTGGCCTCCAGGAAGGATATATTACTACTGCTGAAATTAATGCAGACGAAGTTACAGGCAAAGACTGGTTTATTATATATTTAAATGATTTTAAATCTTATTACCTTATAATCAAGATTGTAAATGCTCTTTGTGCAGCATTTAGTCATGACGAGGAAGCCACACATCCTCTCTTGGAGTCCGAGGGAGTATTCAATGCTGCGGATGAGATCGTTTGTCTTCAAAACCAACAAAGCCTGACGGTCTACATGTTCCAAACACTGTGTTACGTAGTGCAGGAAATTTGGGATCTCATTTTGGAAAGTTGTTTTCTGAAATTTGAAATGTATACATAATATATGAAAATCAAAACTAAAATGTTCTTTTGTAACAGAAAATAGACTCAAAATCAATAACTTAAATAAACATTTCTTACAAAGAAAAAAAATCCATTGAAATAATAATAAATATTATAATACAACTACATAACTGATTATTTTTTTGGAAACAGAAATATATTCTTGTCTTTGAAATACCATTTGGACCATTGTAAAAATGTATTAAAACTAATATATTATAAGACTTAAATGAAACTAATATTTTCGGATTTTACTTCGCGTTTCATTTTAGAAACCACATACTCCCGACGTTTCGGCTACTTTTCAGCAACCGTGATCACGGGCAGCTCGTCTGACCGTGATCACGGTTGTTCAATTTAAAAAGTAGTTTAACTTAATATCTTTTACCATTTTTTACTATTAAGCTCAATATTAGACAGGAATATTAAAATAATTTTTCTCTTAAAACTCCATATTTAAGATATAAATGTCTTATAAAATGTATAGTATTTATTTATTGTGATTTATGACAAACCTCGTCTGAAGACGGCCCGGACTTATCAATTCCTTTCATGATAGCATCCCACGGCCTCCCAGTCACCATACAAGCAAACAAGCCGTACAACTCTTTTTCAATACCCAAATGTTCAGCATGAATACGTATTTTATCTCTATCCCTCGCTATAATCGAGAGCCACAACTTTGAGTAATGATACCGGAACTTGTCGGATAATTGCTGGAAATGATGAGAAAAACACATAAATCAGAAGTTATTTATGAGAAAATAATTATAAGTGATAGAATTGAAGCCTCTCAGCATTCAATGGATTCACCTTGCGGGTGCCGAGTCCATTGTATGGAGAGGAGCTTCAACAGTGACTGGGACTTGTAACCCAGGTGTAGGTTTAAGAACCTATCTAATAATAATAGCTCTTCCTTGTAACTTACAGCATACAAACCATGATCCAACAGATAAACCGACACCTCCTTATCTTGAGGGTCTTTATGAACCAAAATATTGCCGGGATGTGGATCGCTGTGCACAAATCCGGTGACAAATATCATATGGGAGTATAGATCGCCTAGCTTCGTGCATAAATCCGGTTTACTGATATTGTGTTTCTAGAAACATGCATATACATTATAATTTAAAAAATACATAAGTATTTTATATTTATAACTAGAAAAAATTCTTAACAATTTATTATATATTTAAATGAAACTAATATTTTTTGGATATACTACGCGACTTTACTTTTGATAAAAACTACACACTCCTAATGTTTAAGCTACTTTTCAGCAACCATTATCACAGGTAGACAAGATGTGAGATTCAATAATAAGTCGCGTATCCGAAAAATATTAGTTTCATTTAAATGAATACTTGTGAAAGTCTTAGTTCTCATTATAATTTATTGAATAATTTGACTTAAGAAAATTATAATATCTTTAGTAAGAGACAATTTAAACAGATAAATGACCACATTAAATTGTTGAGCACTAACATATAAATATATGTTACAGCTTAATTAAAAATATTTAAAATCATATGATAACTTACTTCTAAATACTTCACATCATTAACTTGACCGCCCGTCACATATTCCATTACTAAGACCCTCTCTGTACTATATTCCCAGTATATTTTGGGCACCTTCAACCATGTATAATTTTTAAACAATTCCGAAACCTTCTCAGCGTTTCTACCTTCTTGTAAGAAATCTAATTCCTTTGTGATATTCTTCTTGGTCTCGTCAACGAGCCATTGCATTTGGAAATCTGGGAATACTTTGGACATCACATTGATAATAAATTCCATCCATTGTAGGTCGATCTTTGTGTTTTTCCTCACAAAGTGATGTTGGACTTTGACGGCAACTTCGGAGCCATCTTTAAGTTTTGCTTTATGTACTTGAGCTAGCGATGCAGTACCTAATGGTTCAGGATCAAATTCTTCAAATAAATCTTCAGGCTACAAAAAATATATGTTGTAATAATCATAATGAATACTGAAAATATTAAAAATTTACTATAGTTAGTGATGAAAATGTTATGCAACAGTATTATAATAATAAAATTAAAATATATATTTTATGTCTTTAAAAATAAAGAATAATATTTAAATATATTTGGAAATATGCAGTACTCACGTCTTTTTTTAAATCTTCTCTAATAACCTCGTATAACTCTTCCACGGAATTTCTCGGCGCATCTTTATGCAGAACACGCATGGTCTGAACGTACTCGTTGGGAAGCAAATAATCAAGCGCTCCAACATGCTGCCCAACTTTAATGTACACACCTTTATTAGCTTTGCATAATTCAAGCAGTTTCGCCGCCCCGATTGTATGAGCATCGCTTTTCGCTTGGATGTATTCTTTCGACGCTTTATCCCATTCTCTGCTGTATAGCATAGATTGGTAAGTTCTCCCAATGTTCACTGCTGTTATTGCAGCTCTACTGAGCCTCACTACCGCTAAAGAATCGTAATCACCATCGCGATACTTAAAAGCGACAACAGTTCCTCCTATAGTAACGCCACTATAAAACGAATATTTTACAACCTTCCTTATATTTCGAGATAACATTTTAAAGTATCGCTTTTTTATTTAATTTATAAATATCACATAACCGTTCCACATAATGCGAGTTTTCGCTTCAAGTAAACAGTACGAAGACTTGTCATTCATAAGACGTCCCAGTACGAATAACGAGGTACCATTCAATATAGGTACCTACATGATCTAAGTAGAACGTCAACTCAACAGTCAACAGTGACAATTATCACTTACGTCAAATCATGTATGTATGACAAATGTCAATATAACAGTATTATTTGGGTTCAGTAACACATTATTTAACCAACCATCAGTAACATCGTCAAAATTTTTATCAAAGAATTTTGTATTATCAAAAAAAATTTTTTTATTGTTAATATATACATATTAATTTGAAACAATTGCCAAAGGAAATCAATTTATTCTTATTTTTCTTTTTTAATATTGTTATGCTTTTGAATTAAGTAAACAATTTTTTATTAAAGTTATAAGTTTAGTTAATTACTATAAATGCGAAAATCATATCTTGAGCCGTTGATCAATTCCTCGAAGATTATTGTTTCCCTGACTGTAATATAAAATGGCCTCGCTAAGATAAATAGGTATAAGAACAACATGATGAAATGAAAGTAAAGAACAGAAAGATTATTCAAGAAACTTTTTCTTGTCCCTGATCACTTTTTATAATACAAAAATGCACGCAAACGTGTGAAGATTTATACGTATCTCTTAATTTGACTTTTAACTCATACTAGGATTTCACAAAGATTTTTATCGTATTGCCCATCGACATATATGTACTCATAGACGTGCTTTAGAGATAAGAAGTGTGGCACTCCGAAAGAAAGAGAGGAAACGAAGTTTCGGTCTATCTTTATCTCTCTCAAATTTATATGCCGTGCTTGTCATGAAAACTGAGCGGCAATCATCTATGAGGAAAGAGATAGTGCTAGACCGAAAGCAAAAGACCATCTCACTCACTCTTTTCAAACCAAAAAAATCACTGCAGATTATACGCGTACGGCATGTCCATTAGTATAATATGTCGATGGTTTTGCCTAATTGTCTGTATATAAAAAACTCGACTCGGTTGTGTTACAAATTTATATAAAAAAAAGATACTCAACCAATTTTTTTTTTATATAAATAGAATTTACTAGTTTTAATTTTAATTATTTAGATATTATTTTACTTATTTAGATTACTTTTATAAAACTATAATCATTTTGGTTTTACTGTTAGTATTTTTTTGTATGGCAACATTAGTTCTTCTATCTTTCTTTCGTTATAGTTCCGTTTCCGTTGACAGATCTTTTTAGCTAAAATCTCTCAAAATGAAGGCGAAAGGAGAGGTAAGTTTTATAAATAAAAATAGTTTTGTGTGGAATTAGTGAACGAGAATATACTTGATTTTAGTTATGAAAGTGTAGTTTACAAAAGTAATACATTAAAGTGTTATTTTAATGTTGTTGTATACCGAAACACATTGTGAGGAGTACACGTTGCCGCGGCGTTCTATCACGACAAAATAATGTTTGAATTAGATATAAATATTAATCTTTTGGATTAATAGAAGTAATTGTCGTTATTATTTAGTATTTAATTACAACATACAGCTTAAATTATACATATTAAAGTATTGTTTCCGTGTTTTGAGGTTATGTCATGTTTGGTTCGTAAGTAAAGTTTTATATTTCCTGTTGTATTTCAGTTGAAGGAATATGAAGTCATTGGGCGTAAACTGCCCTCGGAGAGCGACCCCAAGCCTCCTCTATATAAAATGAGAATCTTCTCTCCAGACCCGATAGTGGCTAAGTCGCGGTTTTGGTACTTTTTAAGACAACTCAAGAAGTTCAAGAAGACCACCGGAGAAATTGTTTCAATCAGGGTGAGCTATAAATATTAGTAGCTATTATGATTAAACTATATTTCAATATTGTGTTGTACAAATATTTGGTTCTTTAGTCAATTTCCGGTGCGATTTCATTTTAATTTTTCACTCTATGAATGATGTCCAAAACAGATATATGTAAAATTATATATAAAGATAATCTATTTTATGCTGCATTGGCATAATAAACACTAAGTATATTTGATTTTATAAATAATTCTAAGTTAATCTCTCAACATTGTGAAGTTAAATTTTATGTTATAGACAAAATACTAAAAATATTATTATGAAAGAAAATATTATTGAATTTCAAAGTTAAATGTCTGAGGTGATATTGAATCAATAAATTGGATAACTAAATGATGAACTATCAAATAAATATTTTGTTAAAACAACTTACACTAAAGTATGAGTAACAAAAGCCTTTAATGGCATTTGGTTACTATTAGTAAATAGTTTATATAGAAATGTGAACATTATTCCCATTTTGTAAACTGTTAGGTCAAAGTTTTCAACTATAAGTTAATTATGAAAATATTTTTTATAAATGCAGCCAACTTATTCAATCATTTTTCATATGTATAATGATTTTTTTTTCTCTATAAACATGTCCCAAATAGTCTATCCCTAATAAATGGAAGAAAATTATTTAATTTAATTAATTGGGTCAATGCTATGGACCTATGTCTATAATGTGACGAGTTTTAACAAATTTTATGAATATAACATTACAAGACCCCCATAAAAATAATATTGATATTTACATAATAATTTTGAAGCAACAATTAATTTTAAGAAAGTAGAAAACCATTTAAGAAATAACTCATTAGGGGCTGTTCATAAAATGTAATCTTTAAGTTGGAGAGAGAGAAACAAAAAAAAAAACTATTTTTTATTTTGACTAAAATAATCATTCTGAAATATCGTGAAACACGTGAGATTGAGTGGTTAAGGGCTTGAATATAATAATTTTGCGACATTTCACCAAGGGAAGGACAGAAAATTATAAAAATCCTCATATCATTTATGTACTTTATACATTTCCTATTTGAACTTAGTGAAAATTCTATATTGAATATTGGTAATAATTTCCAGGAAATCCCAGAGAGGAGTCCCATCAAGATAAAGAACTTTGGTATCTGGCTGCGTTATGAGTCTCGTTCAGGAGTCCACAACATGTACCGAGAGTACCGTGCCCTCAGTGTGGGTGATGCGGTCACACAGTGCTACAGAGACATGGGCGCTCGGCACAGGGCTCGAGCTCACTCCATACAGGTTAGAATATAACTTTAAATACATATAAAATATTATCATCAGCCTATCAGAGTCCACTGCTGAACAAAGGCCTCTTCTCACATGGAGAAGGTATGAGCATTAATCACCATGCTTGCTCAAGACGGGTTTATAATTGTGTAATTATAAGTCCAGATTCTTCACAATGTTTTCCTTTATCTGTCAGTGGTGTTTAAATACTCTTAAATAGTATATATGACTCTGATAAATCACATTGGTATGTGCCAGGATCGAACCCGCGTCCTCGTGTACGAGAGGTGGGCCTCTAACCACTAGGCCACCACTAGCTTAAAAATGTTTTACTAGTATATTTCTAATGAGATTAAATGTCTTATTTACTGATATAAAGCTTATGAATTCTGTATACAGCTATAAAGCATTACTTAAAATACTTTATTGAAGTAATAATTTGTTTTCTTGAGTAATTACATATGTATATATATGTATGAATTAATGTTTCCAGATTATCAAAGTGGAGGTAATCAAGGCCGCCGCCTGCCGTCGTCCTCAAGTGAAGCAGTTCCACAACAGCAGCATTCGTTTCCCGCTGCCCAAACGTGTCCACCATTACAAGAGACTCAACACCTTCGCATACAAGCGACCAAGCACATACTTCTTGTAATTTAATGTAATAAAATGATCACTTGATGTGAAAATGAAGTTTTTGTTAAACTAGACTATAATCCTAATGTTTTGGTTCCATTACAAGTTACAGTAAAATTTCTCAATACTGATACAAATTTAGAAAGTACTAGAAGACCTGGCGAACTTCGTATCGCCCTATAAGTATATAATCAAGAAATATCTATTACATTTTTTTTATTTATATTTTTGGAGTTTACCTGTAAGCCATAAATCTCCGTGTTTTGAAGTGCGACAGAATGATTGACATATTAGCTAGTTGTCAAATCTAATGTCAAAAAACGTTTGTATGGGAAATAGAAAAGGGCTGTTTTTATGGTTTTCCCAGTAATGAATCAATTTATTTCAGCTTTTATACCTTCCCTGAACCTCCACGAACATTTCAAGACTAAGATAGGATAAACCCGTTCAGCTGTGCTCGAGGTTTAGCGAGACTAAGGAACAGCAATCCATTTTTATATATATAGAAGATAGAAGATTAAAGAATCTTTATAGTGGGTGAATAATATCTATTAAGAAAATATAACTCATTGGTTCTCATACTTCTCATGTAATTGTTTGTTCCAATAAACAATACTTTGTGGTCGCTTCGTATGTATAAGATTAAAACTGTTTTAACATACAATTAACAATACAAAATCCCCGAGGATATTTGTGCGTCGGCCTCCAGACCTGACATTTTTGTCTTCACGAATTTTAAAGCATGTAAGGGTGATAGAGCTTACGTTCCCTTGGGAAACCAACATCCCCAAAGACCATGCCACCAAGGTCAATAAATATTACGAGCTCACTAACAAACTTACTCGAAATAGGTTCGTCGTGGATTTCTACGCGGTAAAAGTGGGAGCGAGAGATAACAGCGAAATCTCTACAACCTACTAAAAGACTTGGGCTTGTCCAGAACTCACATTAATTCATTCTTGAATGTATTTCCAAGGCAGCAAAAGTAGGTTCGTTTAAAATTTGGTTAGGAGAGAGAGGAGTTTGTACAGTGGGGGTGAGCGTTTAACGCGCGTTAAATAGGGACCCCTTAAACCTACACCTGGATCGCAAGTCCCAGGCACTGTTGAAGCTCCTCTCACTACAACGATGGATCCTACATCCGCACGGTGAATACATCGAATACTAAAAGGTTTGGTCTCTGTCTTGCTATATAATACCGATGTCCTAGTTCCATTACTAGTTAACGCTACCATGAATGCGGACATGATGTGAGTGTCTGAAATTTTTATCCCGCAGTAACATATTATTTGTTACGATAAATAATACTTTGTTATCGCTTATGTGTAGGATTAACTGTCTTTAATTGAATTTAATTGGGTTGAACCAAAACGTAGACATTGCCCTGAATACAAAAAGAAAGTTACGATTTTTCTGTCAAACGAAACCAAATGTCAAGAAGTTTGAGGGGAGACTTAAGTACATGTTTAGTATGTATTATGTATATAAATGATTATAATATCTAATAAATACATATTTTTAATCTTTAAGTGTTACGATTCAAGGGAACAATAGTTCCTTAATTATGGAAACTCCTTAACCTTCGATGAATTTATAAAATATAAACAAATAGATTTAAAACCAGATATCTTCTTCAAGGTATGAAGCACAAACAAGTATTCTATTCTGTTTTGGCAACAAAGTGGACTCCTTTTAGCCCAATTTAATGACAGATGGTTATTTTAGTACATTTAGAAACTTGTAAACTAAAAGCAACACAAGAAAATTTTCGGTTTAGTCCCTTGATAGTCTCTTTTTTGACTATATCAAGGGTTTTAACAAAGGTTTTAATAAAAAAAATATATAAATTAAAGAAGACTTATTTTGAAAATATATTTATCATAAAAACCTTAATATACAGGAATTGATATAAAATAAAATGGCGGACACTTCGTCAATCAAAGATAATGAAAAAATATATTACAAAACTGGTTGAATATGGGTTGTTCTTTTATTTTCATTTTTACATCATTTGTAATATAATCACATAACGAAAAACAAACTATAGTAAAATAAAGTAAATATTACTAACATTAAGTCGGTACCATCTTGAAAACTAAATAAAATGGAATCATGACATTAGGAGTCAGGTATAGGTATAATATAAAAACATTAAAAAATACTAACTTTTAATATAAACTACATACATATTGTATGTATACTAAAATTATATTTAAAATGTACTCTATAATTTTCTAATTATTATATAAATAGTGACTTATATTTATTATTACACATATTTTACTTAACCGATGCTATTCATAAGAAGCATACCATCATCGGACCACATTTCTTATGATTCAGTCATTTTCAATATAGACTATATAATTCTACTTGAGACATTATTTGAGACAGAATAATATAGTCATATCAATATATAAAACCCCTGTAAAATGTTAATACTCACATAAATTCTAATGAAAAAATGTTTATATCTATACATCATTTATATTTATATATATATATATATATATATATATATACGAATTTTTAAATACAATTAACATACTATTAAAATGCATCTATATTTTATATAAAAATGCACATTTGACTGTATAAAAATAGGAAACTCTTAAATTAAAAAAAATATTTAGTTCAATATGCTCGAAAAAATTATAGGGTGGGATAAGAAATTTGTCATTTTTCTCTTTATAAGTAAAGGGTTAAAGGTTTATGGAATAAATATAACTAGAAGGAATGGTGATTCTACATAGAACAAAAAATAAATTGGGATGGTCACATCATTCCAGAATATTCTGTAATATGTAGAACTTCCTGAATTTCCATAACATTCCAGAATATTCTGTAATATGTAGAACTTCTTGAACTTCCATAACATTCCAGAATCTATACTAATATTATAAAGCTGAAGAGTTTGTTTGTTTGTTTGAAAGCGCTAATCTCCGAAACTACTGGTTCGAATTGAATAATTCTTTTTGTGTTGGATAGTCCAGTTATCGAGGAAGGCTGTGAGCTATATAACATCACGCTACGAGCAATAGGAGCAAAGATATAGTGGTAAATGTGTAAAAAACGGGAGAAATTATTTCATCTTTAAAGCCTTCCGTTGCGTGAGCCGTGAAAACGGTTCAAGATACACAAAAAATATGTATTAAAGAATATATGTCTATCTTTTAAGATTAACTCACAAAAACCGTTTTTATGGTACCTAATTTTGTCGAAATATTTTGTTTAAGTTGTATCAAAATAATAATATTAATCTTTATTCAAATAAACAAATAAATATGTTGTTGGTTAAGAGTACTTCATTATTAATTAAAAAAAACATAGATTTCATCCTGAAAATTCTACGGGAAGAACCAAAAATCTGTCGGAAGTAAATGTTCCACGCGGACGAAGCCGCGGCAAAAGCTAGTATTCTATAATGTTCTAGAATATTCTATAATGTTCTGGAATATTCTATGTAGAGAGTATCTTGAGAGCGAGCTTGGCGGCCGCTCGTTTGGCCTGTGCCTTGTTACTGCCGGCCCCATAGACCGTCTGTCGCTGGCCGGCGTGTGTGAATGTTACGGGAACCAGTATCTTGGGAACCGTTGTCTCGGTGGCGCGGGATTTACTGGAAATATATAGAAGATAGACTAAATAAGTCTTCGTATATGACAAACATAAAAAACAGTAGTCATTATAATTATTGTGATTAATAGAAATTAAGTTACAGGTGCTGTAAGTTGATATATACTCCTTAAACCATTTATTTTGCTACACACATACATTATATAAATTATACAGAAGAAAATAATTAAATTTAAAGAATACAGAGTAGGAGCAAGGGGTTCATCTCAGTATAAGCTGTGCTAATGCACAGCACTGATTTTCAGATGGCCCCTAAGTATTAGAAATTGTGGCGTTTCTGTTTGTAAGTAAAATGTTAATTGTTTATGTAATAATATATAAATAGAAAGATTGTTGATTGTAGTACAAAAAATAAATTAGGACGGTAATAGAATAATAATCATAGTAATCAAATGATACAAGTTTTTGTGGATGTGAATATTTTAGTTAGGAGTTGTATGGAATTAACATAGTGCTATAAAAATTAGTTTTTTGGGTTATTTTGAACGTCTATCAAGGTAATATAGTTTCTGCTAACTCACCCAAAACTTGGACAGGCGTGTATCATTTCCATGAGCACTCGTACTGGTTGTTTGGGTACCTTCATACTGAACTCGTGTATTTCTTTGTGCATGATCTTGTAAATGACCTTCCACACGAGAGCTAAGTCCCCGCCGCTGTCCAAAAACATCGCCCCAGTTAGAGACTCAAAGATGTCGCTGAGAGCCTGTAAAATAACAATTATACATATTAAACTTACATATATGACACTTAAACTATGTTTTTCAATTAACATTTTAGCTGTAGTTAACTTTAAAAAAGATATTTCTAAAATGGGCGCTAATGTGGTCTCGTGTTCGATATAGGAATAAAGGGGAAGGGAAAAGTAAGAGACTCAAAAAAATTGGATTGTGTATATGCCTGGGGCGTTATTTATAACTTCATTTGGCTAGGATAAAAATAACAATTTGAAAAATACAATGTTTTTAAAGGAATCACATTTGCTTGCAAAAAAATCACAAGCATTGAACTTGATGTATTGTTTTGTTTAACATTACAGTTTCTAACATGAGATTGTTCTGCACTTTGTTTTTGACTTCATTGAGATTTTTCAAATAATAAAAATTTTAAAAAAACAACAAGTACCTAAATGGAGTCTCATTATGACCTCGCGAGCGTAAAGAGAACTCGGGGTATACTGTTAGTATATCTTAATATAATCATTTCCTACATTTACAAAAACCTTCTAATGTTATGTCCCTACTTAGACATGTAGATAATCGTTACACATTAGTTTGTTACTATGTTTCTTACTTTATACAGGCTGTGGTTATATCTAGTTATATACAGAGTGTTCAAGATTCAACCATACCTTGGGCACGTCAATGTACTGCGCTATATTACAATCTTCTTCCTCTATTAAGTAGAGAACGTCTTCTAGAAGCACGTGGTCCAGTTGTTCTTGATGTTCAACGAACGTCTTGATGGCGTTCTCTAAGACGCCGTTGAATTGAGAACAGAAGTATCTAAAGAAGAATATGTTATATGAAGATCGATGTTAAATGATTGTTATAGAGGAAGTTTGAAACTATTTGGCATATGTTTAGCTTGGAGATTAAATGATATTATCTTTTAATTATAAGTAAAAGCATTAATTATTGGTATTTAAGGGCTCACTATAGTTTTCATTGGAGTTGTGCCTAGTATAAATACGATGTCATTTGGTTTTATTATTCTTACGTATCATCTTGTTTGGTAAGCGTGAAATAACAAGACTATAATAGAAAGAGTCCGTTTAATTGAGTGTATTACAGTACTGAATAATATAATCAAATGACTGTATTTATACTAGACACACGGTGTACATTATCCTACTAATATTATAATTGAAAAAGTTTGTGAGTGTGTGTGAGTGTGTGTGTGTATGTGTGTTACTTCTACACGCTTAAACGGCTGAACCGATTTTGATAAAATTTTGTATACAGGAAGCTGACGTCCAGGAATGACACATAGGCTATTTTACATCCCGGAAATCTCGAAAATTCGCGGGTAACTAGTTGGTGTATATTACTCACTTGTGTAGTCCAAGTCTAACAACGTATGATGCGAAGGTCACGTTGTTGACTAGCGCGGACCTAAGGTCCGTGAGGTCCCCGGGCGAAAGGTCTCCACAGTTCTCATAGATGTAGGCCGTTATCAGGAAATCCAAAATAGCATCTCCCAAAAACTCAAGACGCTCGTATGAACGTGTGTGACGATTACGGATGTAGGAAGCGTGTGATAGGGCCTATGGGATGTAAAAACTGTATTAGAAACTTTATTTTTACCTTAAATATTATTTATATTTAAATAGGACTTATAGATTTTAATGAATAACTGATTTTATTCTTCAAACTTGATTGGTTTCTTATCATACAATATATACATTTAAATGAAACTAATATTTTCGGTTTACTACGCGTTCTTATCTCGTCTTCGTGATCACGGTTGTGCAATCCAAAACGTTGGAAGTATTTTGATATAAAATAAAAAAAACGCTTAGTTATAAGGAAATATTAGTTTCATTTAAATGAATATTTAAAGTCTTAGAGCATTATGTTATAGTATCATAAAATATAAGCAAACTTTGTATTTATTTCTGGTTATTTCTGTTTTTCATCAAGAATCCATACCTCCAATAATAGTGCGGGATCTTTAAACTTGTATCCAATGATTTTTTCAATGTCGCCCCTACAACTGTTCAACAACCACTCTATTTCGTGAACAGTAGCTTTCTTCTGACTTATAACAGTATTCACTTTTTTCGTCAAGAAACTCGAGAAGTTATCCTGGAAAAATATGATTTTTTTTTTGTTATACAAAATAATAGTAATTATATAAATGGTGTTCATTCCAAAAATGACATTGCGAATAAATTTTGTGGTTAAAGAATATTTTTTTTCCTCATAAAGAACATATGTACATACAATGTTCACTTAAGATAAGATATATTACATAATTTAATTTAATTAACAATTTAGTATAGTAGTAACGACTTATACAATTCAAGAGTAGTTAACCTAAGTGATTTTTACAATAACCCAATAATTTCCTTCTAAAATCGCAAACAGTTTTTTCATCAAAAACTTTGTCAGGCAAGCCATTATATAGTTTCCTGGTGTATACCTATATGGTGTATACCTATGGACATATAGCTCCCTCAAACTGTATAGTTTTAATTCCATATTTGGTCCTGGTCTTGGGTAATTCAAGTTTGTATTTATATCTCGTGTTATGTTTATATGTTTTAGTTTTAAATGTTATTTGTGTGTGTATTGGTTTTTTAAGTATTTTTCTAATTAATATGCATGGTTTATATTTGTATAAAAATTATGTAATATTTTTATTATAAGTACTATATTTGAGTCTTTTTTGTACATTAAATAAAATAATTGATTTTTTTGGATATTATGTGTTTTTTTTTTATTATAATTACCTCGGGTGGAATTATTTTGAACCACTCCAGAATGCTCACTGCGTCTGTAATCCCTCCGCTGAGCAGATAGGTACCGATAAGAGCCTCCACGCAGTCCGCTACTGACTAAATAAAACATATAAGACATATTATTATTGACATCATCATCATCCTCATCATCATCCTATCAGAGCCCACTGCTGAGCAAAGACCTCTTCACACATGGAGAAGTTTATTATTTAAAACATATTTTACCCATACGAATTTTATTGTATGAAACCAATTTTATATGTTATCAATATAATTTTTATTTTGATGATAATTTCATTATCTTTTTACGTAACATTTATATAATAATAATAAAAACGTGAGAGTTTATGAATTAAGGTAATAAATTTAATAATATTAGTCATATAATTATTAAGAATTTAATTGTAAATTAAAGAGATTTATCATCCATTGTTTTTGTTGATGTCGGTCAGAAGAGTTACTGAGCACTTAAAAATGATTTTCGTTCATTAATATATATGTATGTATTACAATGTCCTAAAAATAAGGTCAACATTGATAAAAAATAAAAAGATGAAGTTTGATTATTATTGATAAAATAAATCTGTTTTAATTACTTTGACGTGATTTTATCAGTAATTTTTGAGTAATATAATATTTTTATCACTTAAGGATAGTAATATTGATTAGGTGACGGGAAAAAACATAGTTCTTAATAATCTTGCATAGTACCAGTGAAATTGATAAAAAATTGATATATTGCGGCAGACAAAAATATTATATAATTCATTTAATATTGATAAACAGATAATATTGAATTAACAAGTTTATATAAGAAAATTTAAAAGAATCATATATGCCAAACAATAAGATCAAAATTATTTAATTATATTAAATTATATATGAAAGTTCTTCTTCTACCTGGCAATTTCCAGCTTTAGCCAGGGTCTGCCTTACATGTTGTGAATAGTTTTGGTTAATTGTTTTTACGAACGGCCGCCTGCCTGACATCAACCCTCTTTGGGAATACATTAATCAGTGCTGTCTAAATACTCTTAGAAAGTATATATGACTCGGAAAAATGATATTGTTACTTGCCAGGGCCAGGATCGAACCCGCGCCCTCATGCATGAGAGGCGGGCCTTTTAACCACTAGGCCACCAATGACTATAATAATTATATATGAAAGTTATTGTCCCATAATATGTAGGGTAACTTTGATGAAGTTACAATTCATAGCATTCCTAACTATTAAATGAAACTAATATTTTCTGATTACTATGCTTTATTATTATTTTAACTACGTACTGGGAGTATTCGGTTACTTTACATCAACCGTGATAAACCAGAGATGAGAACGCGTAGTAATCTAAAAATATTATCGTTTCTTTATATGAGTGGTCGCGAAACTTTTAGTACATAGTCCTACCTTATCAGAAACCGCTTGAGCGCCGATGTATCTCTGCATCGAATTCTGTGCTTTACCAAACGGTTCCTCTTCTGCCAAATCCGAGTCTTTTAACTTCTCCTGTAGTAAGGATTTGCTCTCCGGAGACAGGGTCCCAGAAAGAGCGTCTTCTAATGGGAATGGAATCCCTATCAGGAATGTTGGACGAATCTAGAAAAAAAAATCTTGGATCATCGTAGAACTCTTTTTATTTATTTATAAGGACAACTTACAAAACATACACCATTTACAGGTTTTAAAATAAAGGTAATTACATTTATAGCTAAGTGTTGTTTGAATTAAAAATTATCAAGGCATCGAAAAGGACATTTTCTATTAACCTAACACAATTTTTTTTTCTATTTCTATTATACAAAAGAGGAAACAAAAAATACTACCAATAGTAATACAAAAGATCAGATTTTCGATAATGCATTACTTCTGCATAATGTAACATTTACTATTTGATATGCAAAATAAACATAATACAGTTTCTAATAATTTGTACCTTGTCTTAAGAAAAGTAGTAAACAATTTTCATTGGAAAGTAGACATATGATTGTATATAATGCAAATTAATTAAATAACAGTTTGTAACAAGATAACTGGTTTCTTATGAATATAAAAAAATCCTAACACGCGTGAATAATTTTAAGTCGATCAGGTTTCTTTTTTATCTTACACGTGTAGTTCATACATTTTAATAACTTTCTATCGTACATATTTCATATTTCTTCTCACACTTTAAACTAGCTTTATACTATATTTGGACCTCTTAGGATATAGAAATAACATCGAATCAGCATAGGAAAAGGTGATTAAGTCTCGCAGTCATGATACGAGGCAATAACAACATTTTATTAAATAAAGGCCAGCTAGGTCATATCAGGAAAATCTAAGAAAGTCTTACTTATTTAGGAAAAGAGCCTTTACAGACATTATTGGACCGATTAACAAAACATAACTGGAGGAAACCGTAAGGAAAGTGGTTTTCAAATGAAAAATAATCAGTTTCTGAGCTACGATGAAACAAACAAACAGATATCTACGGAAATGTTATGACAACCTTTTATTTACGTCGGTAGTTAAAAAATCGCTAGAACCGTATGTTTTAATTAATCAATTCTATATTATGTTATAAACTATTTTCCGCTTAAGCCTTCTCTAGAATAGATATTATTGAAACCAAAAGTAGTCCACGTCTTGAAGTCTATACATAATACATTTTCATCCAGTATTTCCAACTAGAGTGGTTCCAAAATCTTTATTAGGTAGTACGGATAGGTTTCCAGGAAGAATTCGCGAGTGTAAATTAACGTTTTGGATAACGCAGTTTTGGAAAGTCTCCTACTACAATATTTATTATCTTCTCTTGTTGATCTCCAAAATAACTACTACATTCCAGGCTGAACTCATACATGCAGGTTTCACAAATTTAGCCCTACGAATAGCAATCCAGTCTCAAATCTCCCGAAACGTATTAAGATTTTGGCCTTGGTATTTGTTTGTTATGGTAAAATACACTTTAACAAAGAACGGTACAGGTTTAAATACACCTAAATATTATAGAAAAATAGTGGAATTTTTGGTAGACATACTTCATCATCCTGAATATAGCAATGTAAATATGCTTCTATTAAGTTGATGTATGTACATGTATGACCTGTTATTGCAGAGTCGAAATTTTATTATAATATTATTGATGTCCTTGTCCGCGAAGAGATCAAAAGGACTTAGCTAGTTCAGAACCTTAACCACATATATAGTTGTATACATTTTTCGCTCCTATCATAGATTTCAACATTAATTTCCTCAGCTTGGTCTTTCTTAGAAGTCTAAATCGCTCGTGAACAAACCATTCCAGATTTATTTGTTGTATGTTCATTATGGTGTGTATTGCATTCATTAATTCCTGTTCACCACCCACCACTGCTGAGTCGTCTTTTATAGTCACTTTACCGTCACACTCATTACATTCCCCATTTCCTATTTTTAGCATAATATCTGTAAACAGTCCCGCGGTTACGTAGCATTTCACGTGTAGTCTCATATTTTTTTGAAGTTTAAGGGCTTCATAGCATAGTACCCAAGGACAAATATTTTAATACTGATCTTACATTCTCTGCTCTCGTACGTATAAGTACATACCACTTTTTAAATGTATCGAAAATATCCATTTAGTTTGATTTATTGCCAAAAAACAATGTCAAAGAAGTAATATATGAAGTAGCATAAAGATTAATAAACCGTATAAATAAGACAGAGATGTTGTTTGATGAATGGTTTAAATTTTTATATATTTACATATGCTTACGACAAGAATACTTAATAATCTGAATTAATAAAACAGTTAATCGTCATACATATTACGAGTATGTACAGTGCCCGTAACTCGACACCTGAAGAATCTAAACGTGGAACAAAAATTGTTATATCATATTTGTTGTGTCAACTGCGGTCACACGAGACGATATAATTTTTTACACAAAGAAATTCATATCAATTATACATTTTTTTCCATTCCAATGACAATGTTACTCATCAAGACGAATGAAGTTGCAAGATCGTGTATATTTTAAATTGTGAGTAAAATGAAAAAGTTCTTATTAGTTACTTATTTAAAGTATACAAAAAAAATATTATTGGTGGGTAGATTTGTAAAATAACACGTCTTTGTGTGCTTTATTCGTATCTTTAAAATGTTCGTTAATTCATTTGAAATTCCTATAAAGATTCTTCTATAACACTAACAAAACAAAGCATTTAAATTGACCGATATCTGCTTATATAATAATAAAGTACTTTTATTTCATATTACATTAATATCAAAAACACGTTTTTATTGATTAAGATAACGCAATCATTAGATAAAATAAATCCATTTTACTTTAAGCAAAACAAAATAAATATATTTTTTTAAACTATTAATTAGAAGTGAGACGGTTCAAAGTGATCATTTATTTGTAACTAGCTTTCCGCCCGCAGCTTCGCCCGCGTGGAGTTCGGTTATATCGCGTTTTCAAGAGAACCATTTAAAAGTCTGGGATAAAAACTATTATGTTCTTTCTCAAGGTCAACTTTAACTCTGTACCAAATTTCATAAAAATCAGTTCAGTGGTTTAAGCATGAAAGCGTAACAGACAGACAGACAGCTACTTTCGCATTTATAATATTAGTAGGGATAATTGTCGATTAATATTTTCCTAAGTGGGTATAAACGTGTGATAGTTAGTGCCGGCTCGTTAAATCTGTTCCGTACGATGCACGTGTTGAGGGTCATCAATGTTTTCGTTGACAGGCAGCTCGTCTCGCTCTTGTCAACACTAGGGCCGCGTTGAAACCGATCGCAATTTCGGTTCGGAACGCCGGCGCCTGCGCACGCGTCTTACATACTATTAAGTGAGAGTGTCTACATAGCGTGATTGTAAGGTGAATCATTTTAATTAAATATTTATACACGGGTTTTTAATAGAGTAATAAAAACGGTTTTTTTTATCAGAGATGTCGTTAGAAAATTTTTCTTTAATGTACCGTCATTGTAGATAATTAATTGGCTTTACGTTGTTAATTCTTACACGGCGCGATTGTTTAATCCGCAGTCGGTTTTTAAACCCGGGTTGTGTTATATAAAGTTACCGTTATCGGGAAGACTGAACCGGATATTGAGTTCATCTACAGTCTAGACTAGTCTAGACTAGACTCTAGACTGTAACACGGACTATTTATTAACGATCTCAGCCAAGCAGCAACACCGATTCGAGTTATCGGCGATACATCTATGCAGTTTGAAGAAGCGAATAAGGTCATATGAATACAATGTGTTCACCTTTCTCGGTTTGCATAATTATAAATACGACAGAAAACTTTCTTTGTCCCACATCGCCGAAATATACGCGAAAAATAATACCATACCCGCCCTCAATACACGCGCGGAGTTTATTTTTGTATACCTACATTTTTTGTACTCGATATTATCTTATTAAAGATGAACATTATATAATGTACGTTAAGTAGTTTAGTGTGTCTGTACGTGAATTGTTTATCTGCAAATACAAATACTGTTTCTGATTGTGTCATCGTTTTAGAAGTTAAATAGAAAATAAAAATTGCGTTCGCATAACGGGATTCAACACGTGGGGGTTTGGATTTAACTGTATATATGATTTAACGGATTCCGTACTCGGGAAAGTTTATCTCTGCGAACGTTTGGCGGTTCAACGAACTTTTACTTTCGTTTGTTACAGATGTTTAAGACATGCGTGGCGGTCGTTGTGGCCGCTTGTGCTGTCGGTCTGATCATTAATTTTTATTACCAACGAATACCTAAACTACCGAATCTGGATTACGAGAAGTGGTGGGGAGAGGGGGTGCGACCGCAGCAAGATGATACCTCTATAAGACCCTTCAAGATTGTCTTCAATAATACGGTACACAATTTTATAAACAAAAAAATTTAATTCTACAACCAACGAGTAATTTTCCCATATTCTCGTATATAGTAATCTGTCAAAGTAATTTTAATATCTGTGTCGATGCCCCATTATTATCTGCTCATTTGATTGCAATGCAAATAACTTATATATGACCTTAGAACGACTATAGCGAATTAATATGACAACGAAGCGAGCGACGACACATTTGTATTTGTGTTTGTACCGCATTCAATGTTTACAATAATTATCAGAACTGGAGATGTCAACGACCTCGTCATGGTAAACTTCAATATCCACATTTTTATTTCAGATGATAGAAGATTTAAAATCTAGATTAAGAAGCAGACGGGCTTTCACGAGACCTATGGATGGAATTCAGTCTGAATACGGAATAAACACTGTATATTTGGATAAATTACTGAATTATTGGCTGAAGGAATACGACTTCAAAGCGAGAGCCGAACGTCTTAATAGGTTTCCACACTTCAAGACCCGGATCCAGGGTCTGGATATTCACTATATAAGAGTGAAACCGCAAGTGAAGTCAGGCGTCAAAGTTCTGCCTCTGCTGATGATGCACGGCTGGCCGAGTTCCTCCAAGGAGTTTGATATGGCCATACCGTTACTGACAAAGCAGAGGAAGGATTATGATTTTGTGTTCGAAGTAATTGCTGTCGATCTGCCTGGATTCGGATACTCTGAGGTTTGTTAACATATATAAAACCTTTTTTTTAAATCCTAGTTGCAACTTCGTATTAAAATAAAAGCAAAAATATCCGGTGCAAGTTGAGTGAAGCGACCTCGGCGTTTGGGCCTAACATTTAAATTGGTGGTCCTATCTATTTATTTTAATGAAAACCACCCCAAACAAATTGGCTATGATACAAAAAAAAACCTCGATTCAATCGGAAATGCGTTTACTTAAATCATCTCCGTGGATGAATGACCTCCAGTCGCAAGCATAGCGTTCCGATCGCTTCACTCAATTAACAAATATTATGTGTCACCAACACTGAAGCCACTACACTTTGTATTACCAGATACTTAATATATTTCATAGTGAAAAAAGACTTATTACATTATAAATGAATAGTATTATAAAGTACTAGATATATCAATCTGAGCAAAATCTGGACAAACACTATGTATTCACTGATAATCTTAATCCTTCAACGTTTTTTTCTACACGTGCATATTTTTTTTGTATGTACTCGCTAACAAGTCTTCATGTAATCAAAGAATGACTTTACTAAACGTAGATATTATGTTTTTTTGTCAGTAATAATATGAATCCAACTAATATTATAATTGCGAAAGTTTGTGAGTGTGTGTGTATGTTTGTTACTTCTTCATGCTCAAACGGCTGTAAAGATTTTGATAAAATGTTGTATACAGGAAGCTGACGTCCGGGATTAACACATAGGCTACTTTACATCCCGGAACTCCGCGGGTAACACCGCGGGGCGCAGCTAGAATCTAGATATATTTTCTCTAACCAGCTTTTTTTGCGTTGTTTTACAGGGAACCAACAAACCCGGCTTGAATCCTTTGCAAATAGCCATAATCATGAAGAATCTTATGACTAGGCTAGGTCATCAAAGGTTTTACGTACAAGCCGGCGATTGGGGCTCCCAGGCGGGAACACATATGGCGACCATTTTTCAAGACGATATATTAGGGCGAGTACATAATACACAATATTTACACGCGACTTCGCTTGTTAATCATTGAGTTCATTTATTTTCGTGTATAACCAGCCTTAGCAATTTTTTATACGTTTGCGTTCAAAAACAACATATTATCGTAATCGGTTAAGTAATTTTTTACTTCATTGAATAACAAATTATTAGACATACGAAAATGTATTTACGATAACTAGTAGGACTATAAAAACTAAAATTTTAAAGTCCCTTTTAAATTATATTTAAATTCTTCATTACGATACGAAAATTTATATTATATCTTAGAATATTAATAATTACATAGAAAAAAATAAGCATAAAAATAGGTTTTTTGTCCCTTGATTGTGTGATTAATTTAGTTTATAATATTAACATATAGGACCACCCAGTAATACGGGTTTGCACCTAGTACAGGGGCCCTTGCAACTTGATTGTTATGTAATCCTGGAGTCAATAAAGTTTATTTTTTTAACATATAAATTAATTTTACAGATTCCACACAAACATGCCGTTTTCATCTCGTCAGATAAGCAATATCAAATACTTCATAGGTTCACTGTTCCCGAGTTTGTTCGTCAAAGCGCCATATATACCCAGACTTTATCCAATAAGAGATTTGTTCACGTATCTTATGAGAGAAAGCGGTTATTTCCACTTGCAAGCGACGAAACCTGATACTATAGGTAAGATTTTATACTAATCTCTCGAAAAAACGTAGCAATCTTTTTTGGACGTTAGTTTCTGAGATATATTAACGAAAAAGCGTACAATAAAGCGTTAAAAAGAAAACTTTTATGTATAAATTATTTCAAATTAAGTCGCCATAAACGAACATAATATTTTCCGATTTCTACAGTGATCCGAAAATCATTCATTTATATCAGAAAATATGTATGAATGAATAAATGCGAAAGTATTCTCTACATACATACATCTCATCAATACTCATCAATCTCATCATACATCTCATCAATCTCATCACCCGATATATTTCAGGCGCAGCCCTAACAGATACACCATCGGGTATGGCAGCGTATATGCTAGAAAAGATAGGAGTGTGCAGCAATAGGAACCAGTTGAACACTGATCACGGAGGGTTAAACAACATTGATATGGACGATCTACTAGATACAGTCACTATTATGTGGGATAATGAGAGCATTACCAGGTCTATGAGGCTTTACGCGGAAGCATTCGCCTGGCCTGAAGTGTTCGTTGTGCACGAGTGAGTAAATATGCTATATATGCTAGATGCCCTAATTAGTATTGAATATTAATAAATCGGCCAATGGCCGGTGAAAGGTTTTTGAAAAATAAATCATAAGGCGTTTTCTATTCTTATATTCAATATTTATTTATTTATTTACTAGCTTTCCGCTCGCAGCTTCGCCCGCGTGGAGTTCGGTTATATCGCGTTTCCAAGAGAACCTCTCAAAAGTCTGGCATAAAAACTATCCTACGATCTTTCTCAAAGTCAACTCTATCTCTGTACCAAATTTCTTTAAAATCAGTTCAGTGGTTTAGGTTAAAGCGTAACAGACAGATAGATAGAGTTACTTTCGCATTTATAATATTAGTAGGGATTTTATTCAGATTTAGACACGACAACGCCATTTCCAAATATATTTTAATGAAAACTAATATTTTGGAATTATGCAATTTTTTGATTAACTTCATCGTAATGAATAGCTATCTATAAGGATTTTAAAGTGATATATAACTCAACGCAAAAATCTTGGATATCTTAAAAATCAAATTATTCAAGCCTTTATCATAACTAGCAATTTCGTCTTCATGATCACGATTGGTGTAACCGAAAAGAACGGGTAGTAATCCGAAAATATTCGTTTCATCTCTATCATAACTGTTCATACATATTTGTTTGAAGTTATCCTGATATATATTTTTTTCCCTAGTATCCCGACTGAAGTTCCAACAGCCGCTATAAACTTTCTTCACGAGGTGGTCTACCAGCCCGATTGGATACTTCGCGACAAATTCGTGAACCTGGTCCATTCAACGACCTTGGATTTCGGCGGTCATTTCGCAGCGATGCACACGCCTAAAGAACTTGTGGACGATATTTTCGATTCCGTGGCCGCGTTTATCAAATTCAACGCGGACAAAGCCAGGAGATAGTGTATAGTGATGTGTTCCTACAGTATTGTTTGATAGTTGTTGTGATCTATTCTAAATTTTGTTATTTATTATCGTGGATCTCTGTTATGTCTTGCGGTGTCGTCATTGTTATGCTCCTGGCGCCGTCGCGGTGTTAATGAACAAGACTTAAATTATCTTTAATAAATGTTATTCAAGTGTACACATAGTTTAATTTGTTCGACGTTTTTGAATACAAAGTTCCCACTGATAGTATAACAACTGTATATACATATATAATATATTGTGAGATGAATTTTTGTTACGTATATTTGTACCAAACGTTTTACGTTTATAATTCAGATAATCATCAAAAATTTCCCTAATCGTTATATTGTTAATTAATATAAATTTCCATGAGATAACGAAATAGATGGAAAATTACGTTCAAGTTCTTTGATATAAATAACGATTTTAATAAATACAGGAATCAAATCCTTAATTAGAACTTAGAATTACAGCAAAATTTGTTGTTGCCAATATAGTTTTGTTAGAGACAACAGTTTGCTTTCATTAATAAAATAACTTCATGGATAACTATGTATAAATAATTGACGTACATTAAAAATCCTCAGTCTAAATCAAGTAAATGTACAGTTTCAATACTTATTTTTGTTAAGCTTAAAAGAAAAGCAGTGTATATATTGATACAAGTGGTGCCATCTGTGCCGTACTAATTATAATGCACTATAATCTTTAGAATTATATTTATGACTGATTATAATTAATAGTATTGAACCATTGTAATTAATGTATTTAAAAACTATTAACACTGGCTTTAGCCCTTCTGTAGGATAACTGGAAGTAACGATTAACATTAAAAATCAAGTATGAAACTTTTGTTTTAATAATTACAATGGTTTAGTATTATTTTAATTTTAATCAGTCCTAAAAATAAGTATGTATAAGATATGGTATAATATATTTAGTATGACACATATGGCGCCACTAGTAATAGTATGTCGAACAATATATATCCCACTAATATTATGATTGCGAAAGTTTCTAAGTATGTGTGTATGTTTGTTACTTCTTCACGCTCAAACAGTTGAAGCGATTTAGATAAAATTTTCTATAGAGGAAGCTGACGTCCAGGAATAGCACATAGGCTACTTTACATGGCGGAAATCCGTGGGTAACACCGCGGGGAAAAGCTAGTATATGTATAGTCACTCACCTTCCGTGTCATGATGAATGAGATGAGCTCCCTCGGCGCGAGGAACCCTGGCACCAGGAAGTCGCTCCGAGGACTGAACTGTTCAACCTTCATACGACCAGCCAAGCCTACACGCTCACCCGCGTAATACAGATTTCTAGAGGAAATTAACATTAGGTACTTTATTTATGATTTTTGGTACTTTTTTGCTGTTTTGGGTGGAACTAGGCATTTAAGTGCGTTATGAGGAATATTTAATGGAAAAAATAATGTCATTAGTCTTTATTCAGATAGTGACTTTATCAGTATAAGCGAGTGAAATAATAAAATTATCTAAATTAATAATGAATACAGAAAAATGTACCAACTCAAATAATAATAACATTATATATAAGTATTATAAACATTAAACATGGCTATGAGGAAATTTTAAGAATGTCCCATAAGTTGTAACATTTTCATATATATTTACAGTGGACCCCCTGTAATCCGACATGATCTATTATTTAATATTCAATTCAATATACATATTTTGTATTCGCTAATGCATGTTTGAACAAGTTACAACTTGTACGCACCATCACTATTGTGGTCGACACGTAGGGTACTGTTTTGATTCTGATTGCTTAGTTGGAATTTGAATTTGTACTTCAGAGTACATATTTATATATAATATGTAAATAATCTTATCATTGAATCTATAATTTGTCGGATTACATGGTACTCTTCTGTAAAAAAATCCAGGCTATAGGGGGTGTTAGGCACTCTATAATCCGATGAATTCGATAGTTTGACACTGCCCTGCAAAGTGTTTGTCGGACTACTTGGGGTCCACTGTATATGTATGTACATTACATGTGTAGTTCGTTAATCATTTATTTATCATTAAACAACAGTAAATAATAAATATATATGTAAGTCACCTGTTTCCAATGAGTCGTCCCTTAAGATTGGTGAGTTGTCCTTCATCCATGTTGGGGAACTTGTGGAACAGGTATAAACTAGCTGCGAACTTGAGGAATGAGTCTCCCAAAGTCTCCGCGCGCTCCAGGTTGACTGTGTCGTTTGATTTGATGAGAGTGAGCGAGCTGAGGATCGCGCGGGGCTGCGGACCCAGCGGGGAGGGCGGGGTGGATAGGACCGATATAGTATCCTTGTATCTATAGGAAATACATAATATAAGGCTTATTGATATGAAAATTAAGTTAGGTTAGATAGAGAGAGCTTGGACGATGGAGGTGAGCGTTTAACGCGTTAGTTAGCCCTTAAAAATATAAAGATAAATAAACCTCTCCCCCGGTTACGCTTGCGTAACATTCACTATCATTTATAATTATTTTTAAAAACACACTTTCAATGTATATTCAACCGTGATCACTAAGACGAGATTTTAAACAATACTATAAAGAAACTATATATATTTCTAACTTTACGCCCGCAACTTCGCCCGCGTGGAGTTCTGTTATATCGCGTTTCCAAGAGAACCTTTCAAAAGTTTGGGATAAAAACTATCCTATGTTGTTTCTCAAGGTCAACTCTATGTCTGTACCAAATTTCATTAAAATCAGTTCAGTGGTTTAGGCGTGAAAGCGTAACAGACAGACGGATAGAGTTACTTTCGCATTTATAATATTATTGATTGAGTATGTGTTACCGTAGTGGCGGCGGTAGTATAGCAGCTGAGAGGGGCGTCTTCAGTTTGGGTGAAGTTTTAACTAGAGTGGTGGGCTCTCGTTTGGAAGCGAGCGGCGCCGTCACGAACGAGTCGTAACACTCTATATCCATGACGGTCACTCGGGACAGATTACGCTCGATATCTATCGGCTCTATACTCTCCTGGTGACACATTGAAAAAATTAAAAAATTACCCCAAAATAAGGGTAATTAACTTCATGTGTGTCAAACAAATCATTAAAGTTTTGTTGTGTATAAAAAATTACCCTAAAATAAGGGTAATTAATTTCATGGACCTTGTCAAACAATCATTAAAGTTTTGTTGTGTATAAAAATTACCCTAAAATAAGGGTAATTAACTTCTTGTAATCATAGTTTTTTTATATGTTATTGCTAATACTTACTTCCCAAGGATAGTTCTTGGAAACCTTTTTCTTCTGTAGTTGGTACACACTCTGTTTCAGGGACACAATGTTGGGTGGCTTTTGAGCTGTTTCGTCTATGGGATTATTTATTCTGTGGGGAAAATACTTCTATTATGGCAATTTGTTTAGAAAAAATAGAGAACTAAAGGAAAATGGAGTGAAATTCTGTAAGAGGACTATGAATTATTATAATATACAAGTTCTTGCACTAGTTGCACGTACTATTTTTTATTACGAATGCGGGGTTTTTTCTTGTTACTTGTTTTTTATATATATACTTTTTTCGTCAATTCGCGATTTTGCGCGATCAAATGAATATTTGGGTGCGAGAAGTTTACTTATCGCATTCAAATTGACATTTAATTTTGAAGTGGCCAATTAGCGCCTTTTGGACCCCAAAAGCGAGCGCAAAGATAGTACTTTCCCCGCATGAGTAATGAAAGTAAATTTTCTATACTATATTATAATTTAACAATTGTTTTTTACCTGTCAACACTGTTTATAGGCGCGGGTTCGTCTAAATTGGACAACAAGGACTTCTTCACAACAAACAAATCCACTTCTATGGGGAGCCAACTCTCACCTGCACATATAGAATGACAAATACATTACGCTTGATTGTATACATACACTAGAAGACCCGGCGAACTTCGTATCGCCTTATAATCAAAAAATATTATCTGTTACGTTTTTTTATTTATATTTTTGGAGTTTACCTATTAAAGCCATAAATCTCCGTGTTTTGAAGTGCGACAGAATGATTGACATATTAGTTAGTTGTCAAATCTAATGTCAAAAAAAAAAAACGTTTGTATCAACAACTAGTAATAAAATAAAAATTTATTAAAAAAACATTGTCCAGCGGACAAAATTGTGAATCTAAACCATTCCCAGATCCCCTTGAACACACACAAAAAATTTCATCAAAATCGGTCCAGTCGTTTGAGAGAAGTTCAGTGACATACACACTCACAGAAGAATTAAATGTATACATACATATTGTCAAACAGTTTTTTTATGTCTATATGTCCTTATACAGGGTGACTGGTGAATTACTATCGATACTTGAGGACGTGATATTTGACGATCATATATGACAAAATAAAAATTAATATAACATAAATATTAATAAACTTCTAAGTAAAGTTAATCAAAAGTTATGTAATTAATTACGCATCGTGTGAACACCCTACAGATTAGATATACACACACACGCACGCGTCCACACTTGGAACACTTGGAACGTGTCCACACTTTATTTATTTATACGGAAATTTGGTCAAAAATTAAGTACCTATTTTTTTTACATAATTCGAATGAGAATCATGTACCGAGTACTCTCCTCAAATGTTGATAATAATTCACCAGTCACCCTGTATATTTTCTTATTAAGAAATTGGAATGAAGAAATCTAAAACACATCTCGTTTGCCAGTGATCAAGATTCCTGCAAAGTAACCGTGTTCACAGGGAGTACGTACATTAAAATAATAAAAAGGCGTAGAAATCCGGATATATTAGTATAATCTAAATGTTGGAATGAAATATCATAAAATTCATTTCTATCCTACTAATATTATAATTGCGAAAGTTTGTGTATCTGTATGTTTGTTACTTCTTCATGCTCAAACGGCTGAACCGATTTTGATGAAATTATGTATACAGGAAGCTGACGTCCAGGAATAACACATAGGCTACTTTACATCCCGGAAATCCGCGGGTAACACCGCGGGGCGCAGCTAGTATTCTATATGTCTATCTTGTTTTTTACCTTTAGTCAATGTGCTGTGATTCTTCTTGGTATCTTTGAGTATCTGAACTCGCAACTCCTCAGCTATTAGCAGCATGGTGACTCTGAAGAACATTTAATAGATTAGAAATGTTATACAGACGAAGTTAAATTACTATTAAATTACTTTCTATTAGGTTAAATTAATTGAAGGGCTACTTAAATATGGTTGATAGGAATACTAACATTAATACCAACTAGAATGGATACAAGATTTTGGGCTTCAAAAACTTTGAATAAAAATAAAACAGCATGATACATACGTGAAGTTTAAGTGATATTTTAGATGAATAGAATAAATATATGTATATAGATAAATGCATTAGATTGAAAGGAGCATCAATGTAAGAAAATATTTGTGAATCTTAGGCCAGAAGAGTAAAGTAAAATTTAATTTCCGTCCAGTATCATTCTTATATAGGTATATACATATATGCGTGTGTGTGTGTTTGTTTTCCTACCTATGCACGATGCTGGGTAGTACGATGGCCTTGTACCACAGGTGCGCGGGGTAGTCGGCGCGCACACAGTACTCTGGCACGAAAAGTTCAGTGAACTCTCGAGGCTTGGAGTCGCCGTGAGCGAGCGACGCCAGGCGGCGCTGCTTGTCGCTCAGACCACGGATAGTAGCGGCGCGGGGCAACAGGCAGTTCATACGACTGCTTATATTACGGACCTGGGGAGATAAGAATGGGAGTTATTATCATCATCATCATCATCATCCTATCAGAGCCCACTGCTGAGCTGCCTCATCTCACATGGAGAAGGTTTGAGCATTAATCACAACGCTTGCTCACGGGTTGGTGATTTCAATCTTATAATTTGCAATTAAAAGTCCAGGTTTATAACAAATCACATAATTTAAAATATCCAAGAGACGTTTGAATTAAACTTTATTTTATTATTTACTTCAGATACATATTTAATTATCCAAGAACTCAGCTGACCGTTGACATTAAGATATCCATTATTTTGGTAATCAAGATTAAATGTACATATTTTGCCAAATACAAAGTTAAACTATATATTATATATAATAATAATAATACATATATATATATATATATATTCTCACCTCCAACAGCGGCTGATCCTTACTGCCGAGTATCTCCAAGTTGTATTTGTTCCCGTAGTAATCAGCGAATGTCTCGAACGAATTATCCTCGAACTTGGAGTAGGGAGTGAGGTACTCAAGGACTCGTGACACTATGTACCTGGTGCATTTAAATTTATTAATACTAGGACTACACCGCGGCTTTAACTGCTGAAGTTTTTGGGTTCAGAGAGAAATTTTTGCCAAAAACGACATCTATCATCTCTGTCACACACACACGAAATATCTGTTTGAATTATAGCCTACTAGATTTCTGCCCGCAGCTTCGCCCGCGTGGAGTTCGGTTATATCGCATTTCCAAGAGAACCTTTCAAGTCTGAGATAAAAACTAAAAACTATCATATGTTTTTTCTCAAGGTCAACACTATCTCTGTACAAAATTTCATTAAAATCAGTTCAGTGGTTTCGGCGTGAAAGCGTAACGGACAGACAGACAGAGTTACTTTCACATTTATAATATTAGTAGGGATATCTCATTAAGCCCTAACTATATTAATGTTGAAATTCATAAAAATCAGCTCAGTAGTTTTTGCTTGAAAGGTAAACAAACATACAAAACTCCATAGGATTATGATTAGTGGAATAAAGTTTCCAAAAACTTATGTTAAGGCTTTAAATGATCTAGCTGGCTATATAAAGTATAATACAAATAAAAAAATGAATAAAAACTCTAGTAATATAGTTTTGTGTCATATATACCATACATGGACCCACAAATAAGGTTGTATGAAAAACTCCAAACTGTCAGTATTTAGTTAAAACGTGTAGTGATGTATTACCTGTCGGGATGTAGGCTGCCTCTGTACCACGGCGTTACTACACAGTTTTCGTACATTTCTTTGGTGACTCTCAATGACATGCGCTCCTTGAAACAGAGAAAACTCATTATAATTAATGTTTGTATGATAAACAGAATATTAAATAACTTTATAAATACTTATTTATTTATTTACTCTTTAATGTACACCAATATAGACAGAAATAACAAGAGAAAAACAAAGAAAGGAAAATGTACAAATAGGCGGCCTTATCGCTAAAACAGCGATCTCTTCCAGGCAACCTTTGGTAGAGGAGAGAGATAGGATGGTAGGGGTGTACAAATTACTGAATACATAAAAAATAGATACAATATATATGTATATATACGATACACAAATAAAAATTCCATAAATATATACTTATATAATAATATAATATACATACACATTATAGATATATACATTTACATACTATAGATACTTACATAATAAATAAAATAATTAATTGCAATATTTCTTCATGAAGCAAGATAGTGCTCTTTTATCATTTTTTAAAAGAATTTATATTTCGTGCACGTCTTGCTTCGAGTGGAAGAGAGTTCCAAAGACGAATTGAATGGACAGTAAAAGAGTGAGTGTAAAAAGATGTTGAATGGGGTGGTATTTTTAAGACCAAATTCTCTTCAGAACGAAGATTATGGCTATGTGAAGAACTAAGAAATTGAAAACGTTCTTTTAGATATGAAGGAGAAGGCGGATTGAACAGAATACAGTACAGAAGTTGAAGGATGTGAGTATTCCTGCGAATACATACAACATGACAAATATAAAATTAAACTATGTACTGTAAATTTTCTGTAAAGATTCAGTTTCTACAAATATTTCCGATACTTTTATTTTATTTTAGAGAGAGTAGCTTGGGTGGTGGAGGTGAGCGTTTAACGCGTTAGTTACCCCTTAAACCTACACCTGGGTCACAAGTCCTAGGCATTGATAAAGCTCCTCTCTATACAACGATGAACCCGACATATGCACGGTGAATACATTGCATATTGAGAGGTTTCATGTGTAATGTGTGTTACCTGTGTGGTAGGCTCGTTGCACGGCACTATCTGTGTGTATGTCTGCATCACGTTCCAGTCTATATCATATCCGTTGTCATATTTCAGCGGCACGGTGTAGAGGTTATTGACCCGCCCGTCGTGCACTAGGAACTTTTTGGCGATCTCCAACACTTGATCGTATATGAAGAAATGGAATCTGAAACACATCGGATATATATTTAATTATTATTATATTCAATCATCCATCAAACAAGCATGTTGTCTTTACTGTGCACCGTATAAAAAATTCGAAAACAGTTGTAAAAGTGTAAAGTTAACCGCGCTTTTGTTAGCAATCCATAGAACTAAAAGTTAGTCATAGAACGAACAGTGTTTTGCAAGTAAATTACTGCAATAATTAAAGTTAAAGTGATTGAAAAACACATATTGTAATAAATAGTGTAAATTGTTTTGTCTTCCTACCTGACATTAATAAAATAAATTACGATCAGCACTACGCGATGAAGCATTAAAGAACATTCGACACACTCGTTAAAAGTCTCGTGGTGTATTGGTGCGAGAACTTGTGTTTCATCGAGAATTCAGGGATCGATCCCGGTCGAGAATTTATCTTTTATTTTTTTATTTTTTTTTTTTTTTTTCCTTTTCCTGAATTATATTGCTTATTTAATACAAATTCTACCGTGGAGAAATTACTGTGAAAAGTGGAACAATATGGTTTTTACTTGCAATATTTGTACTGATAATATTGCAGTGACACAGAAGCGAATTAAGTGCAGTCACTGCCTTTTATACTACCATTCCGAGTGTGTTAAAATTGGTAAAGATTCAGTCGGTATAAGAGCACATTGGAAATGTCACAATTGCAAAATTAAAAACAGTAAAGTGGCCATTTCGGAGGTTGACAAGAGGAAGAAAGCCAATAAATCACAAGTTCAAACAGAAAGTGAATCTGATAAATATTCTACTTCTTCTTCAACTACTAACACGCCTAATTTGAATCAAGATCTAATAACAAAACACAAAAATGAAAACTTGGAAGGTATTTTGCTTTGTTCTTCGGCAATTTTAGAGCAATTGGAATCCATTTTTGATAGCAAAGTAAAGCCTATGGTGGAATCAATATTCAACGAACTAAAGGTATCTCTTATTGCGGAAATAAGGAAGGAAATGGCCAAAGAATTTAAGAGACTGGAGGAAGAAAATGCACGGTTACGTATTGAATATGAGAACTTGGATGAAAAGTGTAAAAATTTAGAAGCAAGAATCACACATACAGATTTAGAAGTTTCAGAACTGCAAAAACAAATTGATCACCAACAACAATGGGCAAGAATGTCGAACTTAGAAATCGTAGGATTGCCTGAACTACCCAAAGAGTCACCAATTAGTTTAGTCATTGAGATAGCAAAGCATGCAGGGGTTACCCTTAAACACGATCAGATTGAATTTGCCTCTCGAGTTCAGCCAATGCAAAGTAAGCCAGGTAGACCGAAAACACTTGTTGCAAAACTAAAAAATCGTGAGCTTAAGGATGCAGTTTTATCCGGTTTAAGGAAAGTTAGAGGCATTAGTACAACAGATATAGGATTAGGAGGGGATCGTCGCAGATTCTACGTCAACGAACACTTAACCCCAAAGAACAAGCAGTTGTTAAATAAGGTAAAATCTATCGCTTCTGATAAATCATACAAGTTCATCTGGGTCAGAAATTGTTCAATTTTTTTTAAGAAGGAACGAAGAATCACCAGCCTTATCAATAAGTTCGGAAAAGGACTTGAACAAAATAAAATAACATGTTATACATATAAGTATAAGATAGTAAATACCATGTTTTTACAGCTTGTTAAAATTACATTTTGTTACTTTTTTAATTTAGAACTGTATATGGGATACTGTTCACTAAAACATGACGAATTCACAATCACACTTAACACATTTAACACAACAACACACACATTGCTAAAAAATATAAAAAAACACACAGTAAATAATATCATTACATATATAAATAAAAAGAAGCTTATTATAGCTAAATATGCTGCTATTATAATTCGTTCAATATTATCTAGCAAAGATTCTACTACGCATTTTACTGTATATATTCTTAAATTGTTGACGTCTTTATATATGTTTTGGAAATATTCAGAATACACGCACTACATACACATTTCCCATTCACCTGGATACTCATATAGCAAATTCCATGCATTCAAACGACGATACACAAACTTAAATAAACCAAATAGTAACTCAGCCATACCAATATCATTCCAATTCTCAATCAGTAAATTGGTACATTCTTACGGAATCAGTCAAAAACTACACACTATTAAATTTAATAAATTGTGGCAGCTTAATATTGTGGTACTTATTACGGATATCATCAGGCGCTAATCCCTTAGAAATATTTTATCAAAACGTACGTGGCTTATGTACTAAAACTAGTGAATTTAGACTAAATATTCTTAATAATAACTTCGATTTAATTTTAATTACTGAGTCATGGTTGACAAATGGTATCTATGACCGTGAAATCTGCGACAGCAGATACGATATCCTAAGGTGTGACCGAAATATTGAAACTTCCACAAAAAGAAAGGGTGGTGGTGTACTTCTTTGTGCCCTAAAAAAATTACACATCCAACATCGTAGCGAATGGGCCTGTCATGGTGTCGAATCCCTCTGGGTAACTATACCTAGTGAACATTTGAAAAATCAAGGGCATCGAAACATTCATATTGGGTTAATCTACGTTCCTCCAGACGACCTATTATCATGTCGTCTCGAATCAATAACATCCCGTCTAGCTGAAATCACTTCCAAGCAACCAAATGACTACATCATTCTAGCTGGTGACTTTAACCTACCGAATGTTAAATGGTCAATTAGTGGACCTATAATACAAAATCAAGGACCAGCCAATTTACAAAATGCTACGGAGAATTTCATTGACATATGCAATCTTTCTGATTTGAAACAACATAATACAGTTGACAATAACAAAGGCAGAACCTTAGACCTGATATTTAGTAACATACATTTTGAAGTTAATCACTGCCCCTACCCATTCGTCTTGGAGGACGCGTATCATCCAAGCCTTCAATTCAGTCTCGCCAATCTGCAGATTCGTAACTTGCGCAAGAAACCTGTCATAAAACCTAATTTTTTCAAAGGGGATTATGCAAAAATAAATGAATACCTGTCTAGGATTAATTGGTTTGACATATTAAAAGCAGATTCAATGGGCGCAGTTATCGACACGTTTTACGCAATTTTAAGAGACGCTATTAAAAATTTCGTTCCTATAGAAAAGAAATTCAAGAATAAGTTTCCAGTATGGTACTCCAAACCATTAACCCATGTAGTAAAAGAAAAGCTAAAAAAGCACAAACAATGGAAAGTGGGGAAAAACCCTAGAGACTACGATGAGTTTGCTATATTGAGGATTAGACAAAAACATCTTCAGAGTAAATGCTATGCTTCATACATTCAACGTATGCAAACCTTCATACTCAAGGACCCTAAACAACTTTTTTCATTTACTAAATCATTGAAAAGCAACGAAAGCGAATACCCTACAAAACTTACTCTGGGAGATACTATATACACAGATGAACCTTCGATGTGTAGGGGATTCAGTGAGTATTTCGAGAGTGTTTTTATTAAACCTGCAAAGAATTACGACGTAACAAATCAACCTGACATGTCTCAGAACGGATCCATTAGCAAAATCATTATCAAAGAAAAAGAAGTTTACAATTTGCTTAAAATGCTTAGGACTGATAAAGGGCCAGGTAGTGACGGCATTCCACCACTCTTTCTAACCAAGTGTGCTAAAAATCTAGCTAAACCACTTTCTATTATTTTTAACCTTTCCGTTAATGTTTTTTGTACTTTTCCCGACATATGGAAAGAAGCTCTTATAGTACCAATCCACAAAAGTGGTTCTAAAACAAAAATTGAAAATTACCGACCGATTTCTATACTGAACGCAATGGGCAAGCTGTTCGAAAAAGTGGTGTACAGACAAATATGCCCCTTTATTACAAGATCCATTCCCCACGAACAACACGGTTTCATGAAGAGTCGCTCAACGGTCTCCAATTTGGCCATCTTCACAGACTTTATACTGCAAAGCATGGACGAAAGATGCCAAGTAGATGTCATCTACACAGATTTCGAAAAAGCTTTCGACCGCGTAAATCACTTGATATTACTTCATAAACTTAATACTCTTGGGATAAATGGAAACTTGCTTCGATGGTTAACATCTTATATTAAAAATCGTATGCAAGCTGTAGTAACAGGCAGTGCTAGAAGTGACTTTGTACTAATATCATCAGGGGTACCCCAAGGATCCATTTTGGGACCCCTCCTATACAATACATATCTTTTTGATATCGGAATTTGTTTCAAACACTCACACTATCTGATGTTCGCTGACGATAAAAAAGTATACTGTAAAATAAGATCAGTCGAGGATTGCCTTAAATTACAAGATGATCTAAATGCCCTGACAAAATACTACGCGAAAAACAGAATTACAGTAAACATTAAGAAATGTCATTACATAACTCTGACTCGTAAAAAAACAAAAATTAATTTCGACTATAAAATCAATGGCACGACCATTACTAAAAAATCTACCGTTACAGATCTAGGCATTACAATTGATACTAAACTTTCAATGATTGAACACATTGACGCAGTAGCAAATAGGGCGTACAAACAACTTGGTTTTATTAAGCGAGCAACGCAATCATTTAAAAATATTGAATGCATAAAAATACTCTACTTTGCATATGTTCGAAGTATCTTGGAATATGCAAGTAGCATATGGTCACCCTTATACAAAAATCATATTCAGAGACTCGAATCCATACAACATAAATTTCTCAAATACTTAGCGTACAAAGATTTTAAAATATTTGACAGATATGAAGAAGCCTGTATTAATTACAAAATAGATTCGTTAGAGCAGAGACGGATTCAAAAGGATATGCTGTTACTACAAGCAATTTTAACTGGTACGATGGATTGCCCCAGCTTGGTGTCAGCATTTTCTCTAAATGCCTCCTCATTTAGATCGCGAAATCCCCATCTACTAGTTGTTCCTAAATGTAACACAAATTATGCAAAAAGTTCTATAAGTGTACGTCTAGCACGAACATACAATAAATTATTTTCTCATTTAGATCTGTTTCACTTATCAAAAAAACAATTAAAGAATCAAATTATACTATCTTACCGCCAAAAATAAACACACACACACACCCACACGCATACACACACACACACACACACATAAGCACACACACACACACACATAAGCACACACACACACACCCACGCACATAAAAATACCCATATACCTGTTAATATCCTCTAGTTGCATGTTTTAACAATTATTTTCTTTACATCTACTCTGTTTTTGTTATCCACTTTGTTAAAAATATTATATTAAGCACTTTACAATGTAATCTCTGTGGCCTTAGTTTTAATGAAGTTTTAAAAACTGTACAAATATAATCTGTATACGCTGTTGATTACAAATAAATAAATAAATAAATATAGGTTTCTTTTGCAAAAGATTTTCATTTTATATCTATCAACGCCATCTAGCGGTGAAGTGTTAAAACCCTCGCATTTTTTTTTCAATAAATATGTAATATCATTTTTAAATAAATGACAATAATTAAATAAGAAACTTTTATAAAAGATGAATAATTGTGAGACACATTATTTAAGTGTAACATTTTTTTCATAGCTACCTATTATATTGCAATTCTTAAATGGCATTAAATCGAAAATTGCATTGTATATTTGATATCCACTAAGAAAAAATGTTAGTAATGATTCAGAGACTATAAATTAAATAAATTCGAATAAAAAACAAATTCATCGACACACAGAGGATCGAACCCACAATCCGCATAGTGTCGAGTGATTTAACAATTTTGCTACCGTTTCACCCCAATAACAGCCGGTCATCGACCTTTTCTGTTTGAATTTCGAATTAATAAATCATATATGTATATTTAATAAAAGCATTAGAAAATATATTATGTTGTTGTCTTATAACGCAAGTACTGTTAAAATGAAACACCACCGAAACAAAATAAGCATAATTTAATTTAAATATTTTTAAGTCGGTGGTGGCCTAGTAGTTAAAAGGCCCGCCTCTCATGCATGAGGGCGCGGGTTCGATCCTAGCAAGTACCAATGTAATTTTTCCGAGTCACAAGTACTTTCTTAGAGTATTTAGACATCACTGGTTAATGCATTCCCAAAGAAGGTAATGTCAGGCAGGCGGCCGGTCGTATAAAAAATTAGCCAAAACTATTGACAACATGTAAGGCCGACCCTGGCTAAAACTGAGAAATTGCCAGGTAGAAGAAGAGAAGATTTTCCCGGGTAAGTGAACAAACCAAACGTCAATTTAGAAGCATTCAGTCTGTTCAAATAAGATGTGTTTATATGATACTCACTGTTTGATAACTTCTATATGATCAATATCAAGTAAGATGGCTGCGTAGTTAACTTGTAGTGTTGTTCTTACTTCCCCTATTGTAAGAAACATAGGGAATTCGCATAATTCAGGCAGGCTATCGTAGGTAATGAACCCATAGCCCTCCTTCCTCCTCAGCATATTATACAAGGCTTTGTCCCTGGTGTCGCTCGGCTCTTCGAAGGCTGTTTCCAACTTGATCACATGCAGGTAACATTTTCTTATCTGGTCTTTAGTATTCGGACCGTTAAGGCATTTTGGATACTGGAATATAATGAAATATTATGTTTTAAATAATTTCTATAAAAAATATCTTAAATTTTTCGTAATATGAATATCTTATATATAAAATTCTCGTGTCAAAATGTTCGTTCCCGTGCTCCTCCGAAACGGCTGGACCGATTCTCATGAAATTTTGTGAGCATATTGACTAGGTCTGAGAATCTTCTATTTTTTTTTCATGCCCCTGAGAGATAAGGGTTGTCCAACCCAAAAAAAAAATTATTTTTATTTTTTACAATGTGCCATTAAAAATACATACAATCCTAAACTTTTATTGTTTTATCACCAACCTCCATTTTTTTATATGGCAAAACAACGTTTGCCGTGACAGCTAGTAATGATCCTACTAATATTATAATTGCGAAAGTTTGTGAGTGTGTGTGTATGTTTGTTACTTCTTCACGCTCAAACGGCTGAACCGATTTCGATAAAATTTTGTATACAGGAAGCTAACGTCCAGGAATAACTCATAGGCTACTTTACATCCCGGAAATCCCGAAAATCCGCGAGTAACATCGCGGGGCGCAACTAGTGTACAATAATATACAAATGATATATTCCAGATGTTAGAACATTATTCAATAGCTCGTTGTTTACAGGGTGTTGTATGTATGTTTGTCCTCACATGTACAAGATGTTTCCTAACTCTCTTCTTGGTCCCCGGTCGGCCTTCATCTGAGATTTCGGTCTCTTCACGCCAGTTGGGGAAACACGCAGAGACGTCTGGAGTAGAAAAGTCTATTTGCCTGTAATAGTTATTAAATATATTCAATTATTAACCTATTAAATATCATATTCTAGCTGGCAATTTCCCGGCTTTAGCCAGGGTCTATTAAATATATTATATGTTATTAAATATACTCAGTTATTAACCTCTTGAGACTGGGTATACATATGTGCACCTTAAATCCATTGAACTTAAAACTAGTAGCGACATCTTTTAAGTGCTTTTAGTACTTAAAGGAATTACTATAGTTTATAGAGAGGCACCATATAAAATATACATTTTTAAATGATAATAATAATATTTTTCGGATATACTATGGTTGGTTTATTTTTGTAAAAAACTATCTATATGATACATAACAGGACAAACTGACACATCTCGTCTGCCCGTGATCACGGTTGATGAAAAGTAACCGAAACTTCGAATAAAGCACGCGTTGTATATCCGAAAAATATCAGTTTCATTTAAATGAATACTCGTGTGTCTTAGATATCATTATATAGCTTTTATATTAACGAGCAGAAAATATAAAAAGTCTGTTGAGATTAAAGATAATTAACGTTATATTATTACAAATTAAATAAAGACAAATAAACAGGTTTTATATTTATACCTACTAATATTATAAATGCGAAAGTAACTCTGTCTCTCTGTTACGCTTGCACGCCTAATCCACTGAACTGATTATAATGAAATTTCGTACAGATATAGAGTTGATCTCGAGAAAGAACGTGGGATAGTTTTTATCCCAGACTTTTGAAAGGTTCTCTTGGGAACGCGATATAACCGAACTCCACGCGGGCGAAGCTGCGGGCGGAAAGCTAATAAATAATATAAGTAAGTATAATAATCAGTAGTTACCCTTTCAGTATGGGTAGCAAGGTGTAGTAGTCCAATTCCCCGGCCTGATGAAGCTTGATGCAAACATTCATAGCCGCTGATCTCTTTGCATTCTTAATATTATGCATGGGCAGGCCCTGGTCAATACATATATTTATATATCTTGTTCATGACAAATATGTTACATATAGCATATATATATATTTAAATAAAACTAATATTTCTGGATTACTATGCGTCATTATTTTAACTACATACCCGATGTTCAAGTAACTTTGCAGCAACCGTGACCATACAGACGAGATGAAAACGCGTAGTAATCCGAAAATATTAGTTGCATATAAATGAATACTTTGTCTTAAATCTTAATATGTAATAATCAATGGAAAAATTTATTTATTTATTAAGATACACCATTGACTTATCATAATAACTAACACAATATTATGTGCACTAAATGTTCAATCCAGTATTATTTGCCTTTACAGGTGTATACAACATTGTTTTTTTACTAAAATACAGACTAAAAGGTATAAAACTAAGATAAAACAAAGCAAAATAAGAACTAGGTTAAAACAAAGTTAAAAACTAAGAAACAAATCAAATAATGTTAAATGTTATAGCATAAGTATGTACTTGAATTGGTTCTTTGATGGGACAGGCGATGGGCATGATGATGGTGATCATAGTCTTGGACCCCAGCGCCGGCTCTTGAATTACCATGGGTAAGATCGTGGTATACTGGTCGTGAGGCAGAACTGAACAGTATCGGTTCACCAGGCTTATGGCAGACGTCGCGAATAACGAATCTGTAACAAATAATGGCAAAAATACTTTATATAGCATAGATAGATAAGTCAGTGATGGCCCAGTGGTTAAACCCCCACTCTCGTGCATGAGGGCGCGGGTTCAAATCTGGCAAGTACCAATGTGATTTTTCGGAATCATATGTACTTTCTGAGAATATTTAGACACCACTGACATACGGTGAAGGAAATCATCGTGAGGAAAATTGGACTAATAGTTTCATAATTATAAGTTTGAAATCACCAACCCGTCTTGAGCAAGCGTGGTGATTAATGTTCAAACCTTCTTCATGTGAGAAAGAGGCCTTTGCTCAGCAGTGGGCTTTGATAGGATGATGATGAATTTCATAGATATTTCAATTTAAAAGAAGTTATATGACTCAGATGTTATTTGTCCTATAATTATTGTCTTTGACCTGGGTTTGTAAAGAAAATGTTGATTTCTTTCATATTATTACTTATACATAATTATTTTTTGATACTTCAAGTAACTTTAAGATATGAAGTAAAATCTTAATAAAGACGAAACCTCACAGCATTCGATGTATTCACGGTGCGTGTGTCGGGTCCATCGTTGTAGTGAGAGGAGCTTCAACAGTGACTGGGACTTGTGACCCAGGTGTAGGTTTAAGGGTCCCTATCTAACGCGTTATACGCTCACCTCCACTGTCCAAGCTCCTCTACCAAAAAAAATATGAATTTAGCCTACAATGTCTAAGTAGGTTGTATATACTCACTTCCGTTTTCTGTGTGGTAGGCCGGTATACACTCATCATCATACAATTTCTCTTTGACCTCAGCATCAGATGGAGTGTTCCTCTCACTACCATACAGCAACTTAAAGATACATTATATACATACAAATATTGATTTACAATTATATATATATCCTACTAATATTATAATTGCGAAAGTTTGTGAGTGTGTGTATGTTTGTTACTTCTTCACGCTCAAACGGCTGAAAAGATTTTGATAAAATTTTGTATACAGGAAGCTGACGTCCAGGAATAACATATAGGCTACTTTACATCCCGGAAATCTCGGAAAACCAGGAAATCCGCGGGTAAAACCGCGGGGCGCAGCTAGTATACATATATATTGAGATAATAATTTTTTCATACTATTAGCCAGTAAATGATTTTAAGAATTGTGACATGTTTTAGTTGTTAATTAATATTAATCATTTTATTAAATAATAATTTAATGAATTCTATATTCGGAGTCAATTAAATAAATTTAATTTTATAAAAAAATCTATATTTTTATCACATTTTTTATAGTAATAACAAAAAACAAAACTAGTAAATAGTACTAGGTACTAACTAAATGCCACTAGATGGATATAGTGTATGTATGTCTGTTGCAGTCTAGAGTGAAACATGCTGAACAAATTTTGATGAAACTTTTGTTAGTTAACATATATATTATATAGTAATCTAGTTTTAAATAATGTTATTGAGTATCCTCACCCTGTTTAAGTATGACTCGACACTCTGGAAGGCTCGGTACTGACTATCAAATTTCTCCCTCATCACTGCATCCACTAATATCACGAAATTGGATTTTTTGCTTCTCGCACGACCTTAATATTAAATCCCAAGTAAATATATACAATAATACACATAAACAGAACCTTTAGAAAATCACAAAAAAATGATTTATCCCTACTAATATTATAAATGCGAAAGTAACTCTGTCTGTCTGTCTGTTACGCTTCCACGTCTAAACCACTGAACTAATTTTAATGAAATTTGGTACAGACATAGAGTTGACCTTGAGAAAGAACATAGGAGAGTTTTTATCCCAGACTTTTGAAAGGTTCTCTTGGAAACACGATATAACCGAACTCCACACGGGCGAAGCTGCGGGTGGAAAGCCAGTTATATTATATATTTAATTAATTTCCATAAAATGTTACTGTTAATAAGAGTTTTTGTTAAGTATCCGTAAAGTTGTCAGATTTTTTCCTATGTAGCTATGTATTATCATGTAATTTGTTTTAGTACAAAGCATGGATTAATAATAGAATACAGAAAACTTTATTTGTAAGAAAAGATCTAGCATGGGATGTTTTAAAGGCAATATCTGTGATAATTAGGTCAGATATCACCCGGAAGACCAGATTCTGGAAATTGGCATGTAGCTGTGATTTTATAGGTTATAAGGAAAACTGTCAATTTTCAGAGACCATAAGTCAATTAACTCAGTCGAATTCATTATTTTATACTTATAATTGTCTTTATTCAAAATTCGGACAAAATATGTATGTTTAGGATATCCTACTTATATTATAATTGCGAAAGTTTGTGAGTGTGTGTATGTTTGTTACTTCTTCACGCTCAAACAGCTGAACTGATTTTGATAAAATTTTGTATACAGGAAGCTGACGTCCAAGAATAACACATAGGCTACTTTACATCCCGGAAATCCGCGGGTAACACCGCGGGACGCAGCTAGTAGAACAATATAAGCTAGTTGGATATAATATACCTTTGCTTTGTATGTATGAGCGGTATTCGACGGGCGGGTCGTATCTCATCACTAGTGTACATTGAGGAACATCCAAACCTTCTTCCACCACGCTAGTAGCTATCAAACAGTTAAGCTCCCTGAAAACATAAACACTATGTATTAGAAGCGTTGGCCAAGTCAGTGTTGGCCTAGTGGTTAAAGGGCCCGCCTCTCGTTGCCGAGGGCGCGGGTTCGATCCTGGCAAGTACCAATGTGATTTTTCCGAGTCATGTGTACTTTCTGAGAGTATTTAGACACCACTGAAATACGGTGAAGGAAAACATCGTGATTAAACCTGGACTTATAGTTTCACAATTATAAGTTTGAAATCACCAACCCATCTTGAGCAAGTGTGGTGATTAATGCTCAAATCTTCTACATGTGAGAAAGAGGCATTTGCTCAGCAGTGGGCTCTGATAGGCTGATTACAATGAGAAGTGAGTAGAATTTGAATATCTAATTATTACACAGACCCAATGACACAGGTTTATATATATACTAGTTTTTGCCCGCGACTACATCGGCGTCGATTTTGGAATAAGTAATATATTAAGTTTTTCATTGTTATTCGATCGAACAGAATTAAATACCCTATGTCAGTCTCCTGGTTCTAAGCTATGTCTACCAATTTTCAACCATATCCCTACAGCCGTTCTTGAGTTATAAATAGTGTAACTAATATGACTTTCTTTTCTACATTTATTATTTATACATTTTTATAAATAAACGGAACCGAGTAACATATAAACTTCTTTAGAGCTGACTGAATTTATTATACGTGAGCCATTTTCTTTCCGTATGTAAGACATGTTTTTACTTGCTTATTGTTTGATTTGTTAGTTAAAAAATACTTTAGCTGTCACCATAACTGTCGTCATTAATGACTCCATTCTTGATTAAATGAAAATGGAACTTTGATAAGCTGACTGTGGAAAACAGTGAAACGTCAGCATTGGTGACGTCACACTTCTTAAAAATCATATATGACAAGGTTCTTCGGCATGTATAAACAAATATGGTATATACATATAATAGGTTGGGGAAAAAGTCTTTTCGCATCATAGTATGAACTTGTAATAAAACCTCTTTGGCTGTAGTATTTGTATCTGGCTGTTTTTGTTATCATTAAAAAGTTAAAATTTTAAAGAACATAGTTCCAAATACAAATTAGGCAAATGTGTGATTTTCATTTGTTTTTCGTAGTGTCAAGATGAGTGAATCTAATGAAGAAATTTGATACATTTTAAAATTTTACTACAAAAAAGGTAAAAATGCAACGCATATATTATATATATGCTTAAACTCACCCGTTCTTAAATTTGAGCATCGCCTGTTCGCTGGTCTTCTTATTATAGTGCTGCTCCCTAGTGGCGCTGAGCGGCGATATATTGAAGCCTAATATGAAGTCGTGCTTCAAGAAGCCGAACTCTTCTTCATTAACCTCGGTCACGTCCTTCAACAGGTTGTATAAAATCTTGGCAGTGAACCGCTGCTGAGTGAGGATCAAGCCACATAATGCATTCCTCTCTTGATTCACCTTCAAAACTGTAATGATATCAGTACATTTTTATTTTAATATTTTTATTTCTATTTATTTATTTATTAAGATACACCATCGACTTATCATAATAACTAACACAATATTATATGCACTAAATATTCAATCCAGTATGATTTGCCTTTGCAGGTGTATACAACATTGATTTTTTACTAAAATACAGACTAAACGGTATAAAACAAAGTTAAAAACCAAGAAACAAAACTGATAACAATATTAATCTACTTAATCTAGGTATGATAGGGAAGTAGAGTGCTATAAATAATTGTCAACCATTACTACAATCGTTCTTCGCCGTAAATAGCATCTAAACACTTCCTAACAAATTTTAATATCAAACCATCTTATGTGAAATTGAACTATCCACCAATCAGCGCCATCTATTGTAGTGAAGTGACAACCTCACCTTGTTTCACGTTCGTCCGTGGATTGTATTCTTTCAATATATTCAATAGTAGGACAGTTTTTTCTGACGAATGTTTTATAATTTTTTCGTAGCCGCTATCATGTTTCATTGATTCCAAGAGGACGGCGCGAGCTCTATAACATAAGAACAATATTATTAACGTTTGACGTTTATTTATAAAACATTCATATATATTATTATTAATAATCAATACATACATAATGCATTTCTTAAAATTATTGTCCAAAACTTATGACCATTTACCAACATTTAACTCAAGATCTTATTATTTTAATCGAGTTCTTTAATGTGATTATTAAGTCAATTTTGTATGTTTGGTATGAACAATTAATCGTTATATCCATAGTAAGTAATATATTATTCATTTAAACACAAATCAATTGATATTGTTATAAAACTGTTAAATAATAATTTAAATTCTTTTTAATTATATAATTGATCCTAAGAAAACAATCTTGTGATAATTACTAATGTTTAATATATTTAGTGCATGCTGTGATTACCTATAAAAAGAAATACAATTATCTAGTGTGTTCAATTGTTAACTATATAATATTTGTAATACTATTGTCGTTTCTGTTGGTGATCCTATAAAATAAATAAATATATTAGTAAGTATCACTCACTCGACCGCTGATGTTATGGTAACAGTGTACAACAGTTCCTCAACCTGACTTGAGGCCCATCGTTTCCTTCTCTCGAGAGCCACGATGTTCGCTAGGAGCCCTAGGGCTCCAACGTACGCTCCCAAATCACAAATAGTCGATATCATGGACTCAATCATGTTATACACGGCCTTTATTATCTGCAGAATTAAAGAAGAATATATAAAAACAAAAGAATTAAGACAGTTTTATAAGATAAGATCGGATTGTAACACAAAATATATTTCTTGTATATAAATAAGTAATAAAACATGATCCAGGATACAAAGTATTTTGACTACAAATGTTCCTAAAATGGCTAGTAACTAATTTGTTATTTGTATACTATTATTAAGTAAATAATATTTTTTTGCTACATGACCAGAATATATCATATTAATTGCTTAACTGAATACGAATATATAGTCAATATAAGTGATGCTACAAAATAATGATTGTTCATGTACATTAATACGGAGGGCCTTTCACAGCTTTTGCAAACAAAAATTCTGAAATATTTTGACAATACTGCAACAGAGACCCGAATATCATAAAAACTAGTTAGGATTAGCTGAGTGAAAAACAATCTTAATAAATCTTAAAAGACCAACCTTCTTAGGATCTGTGCTAATGTCTCGTTGATTTGGCGCCAACTTTATGTCGTGTTTCTGAACTTTATTCGGTAGTTCAAACCTCTTTACTAACAGTTGAATATCTCTTAATAAAGCCACTGCTTCAGAAGTCGCGGGCGTCGCCGGGGGACAGCGGTAGTATAGCAATTGCTCTTTGGGATTCGTTGAATACCTGTATGTATGTAGGAGTAAAATTTTTAAGAGAGGTTGAAACTGCTGTCATTTAAATATGTGTATACTTTTTTTATGGAAATAATCAATAAAATGTATTGATTAAATTAACCGAAGATTAACAAACACTTTTATAGTAAACTTCAGTTGATATGATAGTATTAGCCAACGTTTGTGGATTTCTAAAAAAGGACAATGTGTCAAAGACAATTTGCAGAGACTTGCAAGTTCTTTAACATATTCATTCATTCATTCATTCCTGATTGGTATGTCTCACTCAATTGTCTCACATGGCAATTTCTCCCATATCGTCGGCCGTGGCTATAGAAGCTTGGAAGGTGGTCTCCAAGTCTCGAATAGTTTCCTGTATTTTGTTTAACTTCACGTTACTATTCAGCAGAGTCGCTGTCAAACCTGCAATATAACATGACATATATATGAGAATATTTCTAAGTCAGTGGTGGCCTAGTGGTTAAAATGCCCGCCTCTCATGCACAAGGGCGCGAGTTCGATCCTGGCAAGCACCAATGTGATTTTTCCGAGTCATATGTACTTTCTAAGAGTTTATAAACATCACTGATATTAATGTATTCCCAAAGAGGGTTGATGTCAGGCAGGCGGCCGGTCGTAAAAACAATTAGCTAAAACTATTCACAACATGTAAGGCAGATCCTGGCTAAAGCTGGGAAGTTGCCAGGTAGAAGAGAAAAGATATACGAGAATGTTTCTGTTATGTAAGTAGTACACTTATTTTATTCATTTACATTTTAATGAAAGTTAAGAAATCGTTTTTGGTGGATGGCAAAATTAGACCCAGTTTCACCAATTATTGTTAAATAAGTAACATCGTGTTAATGCGTTTGATACTCTGTTCCTGTCCCACCACGCACAAATGTCCGTTTAAATGTCTTAACAAGCCACTATGTTGATGAGAAATATTTTAAACAATAACATTCACACACAAATTAAATTAACAAGAAACATACAGATACACACACGAAGCTCACGGCGGGCACATAACATTCAAGTGTATAAACCTAAAACTAATTACGGACATAAATGTATTTTGTACCAAGGAGCACGAATTTATAATTCATTGCCAAATTATATAAAAGAGGCAAAAATATATATATTTATAAGAAATCACTTAAGGATCATATTTTCAAAGGTAATGTTATTAAATAATAATATTTTAAAAATAATGTTTTGAAAATTTTCTAACAACATGTAAGTCGGCTTAAACTCAATAACAAATGTAAATGTTAAAATATAAATTCACTAGACAATTATTGAAATGTACCTACATGTTCACAAATGTTTTTGTTTAGCAAGTTTTTTTTTGTAATACCGTCAATTTTTTTGCGCACTCTGTATTTTAATTATAACTGATTTGTTAAGTTTGTTTATTTCTCCTCGAAGTGATTATATCTTGAGAAATAAAGTGATTTTAAACCGAAATATTAATTTCGCCTCTGGAGCTCCATCTAATGGCTAACAGAATGTTAATGGCATTGTCAAAACTCAATTGTCCAATCACAGTCCTGATTTCTTGTAACCATAGTAACGTCATCTGTTTTGTCAGTTTCGACTGTTTCCTTGTACTTATTAATAAAGTGAATTAAAAATTCATTTTCTATGATGATTTTGCCTTCATCATGATAACATTGCAAATTAAATTTTATTTGAACACTATTTATGCCTATATTTATAACATATTAATATATAACACAATTTATTGACAGCCCGATTTTGACAGGTTACACCTAGTAAATTGAAAAGAAAGCTTTTTGTGTGCCAAATGTATGCAACCAACGATATATAAAATTTGGTCGCATAACCTACCAAGTGACGTATCGAGGAATATATACGATCAAAGTATAAAGTGGTGCATCGTGGAAAACGTGTCGTATTAAACGCTATAGTTTCCACTTGGTCGTCTTATAACAAGAACGAATAATTTGGTAGTCGGTCATTTGACATGACGTTTAATAATGCGTTGTTATTTTGTCATCGTGGGACGTAAATATTTTAACAGACATTTATAATTTTGTAGGTTGGTTAGTAAATGCTGTGATTAGCTTAAAGAAACATTGATTGGTGTAACTGGGTCTTAATCTGACAGATACTCTCACGTTACATTTGTATTAAGCTATCTTTTAAGTAGCTGAAACTACAGATATTATACAAGATGATTCAGAAAAACATACCCATGATCTAATTCTATAATCCTAAACTAAAGTGAAGCTAGCAAAAAACTGTTAATTACCTAGAACTCTGGGCTGTTCGTATTTGGGGCAGTTGAGGAAATGTTTCATGATGAGTCTCATAGGATGATCCTCTACTCCGTGGTGACACTCGTCGAAGATCAATAGACTGATGTCTTTCAACTGCAGGTATTGATGAGTCAGCATGTCATTCAGGATCTGGCAGGTCATTACTATCACCTGGAATAAACATACCACAAACATATATGGACTGCTCACCATATTGATCCTTTTTGTTTTGTAATTCAGACGCTATCATCCCTACTAACATTATAAATGCGAAAGTAACTCTGTCTGTCTGTCTGTTACGCTTTCACGCCTAAACCACTGAACTGATTTTAATGAAATTTGGTACAGAGATAGAGTTGACCTTGAGAAAGAACATAGGACAGTTTTTATCCCAGACTTTCGAAAGGTTCTCTTGGAAACGCGATATAACCGAACTCCACGCGGGCGAAGCTGCGGTCCCAAAGCTAGTATAACATATTGCTCAGAATTACTCAATACCGGTCGTACATTCGAAGAGAATATCAAATTTGTCTAAGTACCTGATATTTGGATAGTTCACTGTCCCATTTCTCTTTATTCCAATAGTCGACGTTATCTTCGCCACTGAAACCGGCCACTCCATTGACAGGACATACTTGTTCTATCATTTTTTTCTGTTGAATAGAAATTAAAAATTTAAATGGAACTACCATTTTTCGGATATACTATGCAACAATATTAGGTTCGTTTAAATGAGTAAATCTTTCGAAAATTTCCGATATCAATAATTAAAAATTCTGATTACTTTGACCGCATGAAGTACAATTGATTTTAATCAGTAAGAATCTCGTTCCTGGTACGAAATTAACTTCTACTCGATTTGTTTTGTTAAATGCAAATAATAATAATTTGCAACAGAGTCCAATACAAAACAATAAAATTTATTACCCAGTTTAAGTTTATTATTTAGTTAGAAAAAATAATAAAGATTAAAGTAAAATGAAACGCAGGTAACTTTTACATTCATTGAAGATAATCCAAATACAAAGGAATTGTTATAAAAATAACTCTTGGTCATAACCGATGGATCAAGATAAATAAAAATATTTTCTTCTACCTGGCAATTTGCCAGATTTAGCCAGGATCTGCCTTGCATGTTGTGAATAGTTTTGGCTAATAGTTTTTACGACCGGCCGTCTGCCTGACATCAACTCTCTTTGGGAATGCATTAGTTAGTGATGTTTATTAGTTAGTACATATGACTCGGAAAAATCACATTGGTACTTGCCAGGATCGAACCCGCGCCTTCGTGTATGAGGGGCGGGCCTTTTAACCATTAGGCCACCACTGACTTTCAAATATAAATGAAAACATAACTGTACAGAAACCTCTAAATTGTTATAAATATAAGGAAATCTATTACATATTATTATATTAATTATTACACACCTGTTGAGCCACTAACGGCACATTGTTGACAAGAAAAAAACATCTCTTCCCGCCAAAACCCCAAGGCTTCTGCAACGTATCTCTCAGCCTCTTTATCAAACTTATCGCGATGTAAGTTTTACCGGAACCTATATAAAAAATATTATTTTATTAAATTTATTACAATACTCTTGAAAGGTCTCATGATATGAAAAATATTTATGCCATATCTGCATAGAACTTACCAGTTGGAAGGAAAATTATTGTATTCTTTTTAACTGCAATTTCTTCTAACTGCGTTTGATATAATCTCGGAATGATCTCGTCGTCGGTCGTATCCATTTTATCATGTGGTCTAGAAAAAATTATATTCAACAATTAAATTCATTATTCACCGTAGCTTCAAACTATTTTTTGTCGATTTGGTACATGGTTTTGCTATTCTGTTAAAACTGCAATCAAAGGAGGGTAAGTAATAACCTAGTGTGCCGGGATTTACAGCCCTTATCCTTGCAGAAAACGTAAGTCTCACTTCTAAGTCTTTAAAAAATATGGAAATTATGATTTAAGTTAAACGAAACACGTGTTTGTAAGGTCATTATATAACTAATAATAATGGCTGAACATAATTATTTAATCTAAAAACATAATAATATAACATTTACTTGAGAAACTCTATTAATTTCTTTTTCGAATCTGTTTGTAATCTTTGAGTGTGCTTTTCGAGTTCATTAATTTTATTGATTATGGTTGGATCAAACGCTGAATTTTCATAAAATTTTTGAAGCGTCTCCAGCGCCTTTAAAGCTTCTTGAATGCTTGGTACTTTCTCTACTTCTTTATATACGATGAATGTTTGGGCGGGCTTATTCCCACTGTTCATTCCGTCACACCATATCATACATTTCTGTACATTATCGTCTTTGGCGTATTTTCTGACGGTAGTTACGACGTCACCAATCTGCACCAAGTCTTTGGAGACTAGCGTTGATACATTGAGAGTTGTGTCGTGGCACATACACTTTTCAACGTCAGAAAACTTTGAGAGCCGCCTTCTCTTGATATTTCCCTGGTCCTCTGACCACTGACACTTATTTATAATATCAACGTAGGCTGATTCTCTTAACCCAGATTCGCAAAGTATTTGCTCACGTAATTTCCCGGATTCAAAATCCCTCACAATTTTTAGTTTATCACTTAAAGACAACACATTTAGTTTACGTTTGGACATTTTGAGTAAGGACTGGGACGTCCTCCGCGAGAGCTGGTTGGAAACTGACTGAATTAAGCTCCACAGAGAAGTAGATAAGAAAGGGTTTTTGGATGGAACGAATTCTCTTAATTAGGATCATTAAAGACTCTCATTAGGAGATTAGCAAAACAATAGATGTTCCCAAAACTAAACAATAATAGCAGGTACACCTTTGGTGATTAGTAAATAATGCAATTTCCTAAAATCCAAATCAATAACAGAAGCATTTGTTTTGAATTAAATTAATTCCTATAAATTTGAGAAAGAATCATCGGTAGCAAAAGTTTGACGCGTTTGACCGTTGCTTATCTCTGAATTTCCGGAAATCCGCGGATAACAAAGCGGGGAGCAGCTAGTATAATATACATATGAGCAGTGGCGGCTGGTGGGTTATGGAACTGGTGGTGCACTTTACTAAAATATTAAAATTAGAAAATGCAACAAAAAATAAATTGAGATAAAATATGTTTATTTTGTATACATTAATAAATGCAACGACATTTTTCCGAAGCGAAATGTTCGATCACCTATTTATTAAAATCGGGTATTGTTTGTATATATTTTTTTATTCAATACTAAGCACAGAAAGTGCATTTAGCAACTGCAAGGTATTTCGGAGAAAAGTTTTGATTCTTTTCAATTCCAATTCGTCATACATCGGGTGCTCTCGGTAATCTTCGGCCGCTCGTGCGGCGCTCGAGAACCGACTCATTACTCGGTACATTTCTATGAACTATCTTTTGTTTCACGCGTCAGGCGTATTAATGCGTATCTCATACAACATGTATTAGCCGTCCTCGTGCACTCGCCGGAGCGCACGAGATATTAGTTTAGTAAAGAGCTCAAACTCATAATTTGAAATTTAATTTTTTATACGTTTTTAAATGTTTAAAAAATAAATATTAAAATGTTAATTTAAAAATAAAGATGAAGTAATATTTTGCAATTTTTAAATCTTTTGAATTGGTGGTTCAGCGCACGAGTGCACTTAAGGTACAGCCGCCACTGCATATGAGTATGTTTCGTAGTTTTTCTGGAACCTCTTGTTGCCACTCTACGTAATTAAAGCTTATCTTAAACATAAACAAAGTGAGTCACTTTGCACTGAAGTGAGTATTAACACAATGGCTTTAAACAAGGTGATAATGAATGAACAATGTATGTAAAACTCATTCAACATATAGAAAAATATATTATATTAATTATTACTTAGAAAAAGTAGGAAGTAAAATGTTGAGAAGATATCTTTATAAAATATAATATATAAAAATATCTATATAAGAAGAAAATAAGGGTAGTTATATAATAAACTATTAGCATATGTATTGTCATACTTGTATGGTCGTCCTAATATAATATGTATTTTTTTTTGATGTCACAGGGAAACTCTTTTTATGAGACCTCCAACCGGCCTCGGTGAGGCAGGAAGGGATGTGTTAGACTTAGGGCAGGTCCCTACTCACTAAAACCACTGCGAAAGCTATCAGCCTCTATGTCAGTGTACTTCGGATCTGTCAGCAACAGGGCACACCAGTGATAATATAATATGTATATGATAGACTCAACCAATGTTAAATTTATCTGAATAAAACACATTATCATGACAAAACATACATGAATAAAAAATATATATGTATGTGATATTCGACATAAGAAACTGTTTTGTAAATTATAAATATAGGAAATTTGTAAATTATAAACTATTGAAGGAAAAAATGTATAAGTGTATATATATGTACAGTAGGACCCCGATTATCCGGACCTCGGTTATCCGAATTCGCGATTATCCGGACTGCCAATCGCAACGAGTTTATTCTAACATTAACATGTCAGAACTTGCATAACGCCACACCACTTATAACTAGGGCCCGGATAAATATGTATTAAATAATCAAAAATATGTACATAAAATATGGACGAAAAAATCAAAAAATATGGAGTATAAAATTAAATAATTTCATAATTAAACATGTTTTACTATAAGAAAGGGTCACTCGTGACATACATCGTTAAGAAACATGAAAAAAAGGTGTGAAATATTTATTTCAACAAAAAGTACCTACAAACAGTTTTATTCAACTTCCATTACACTAGCTTTGTCAAATTGGTTGCAATACACAATGACGTGCTTCTTTAAATTATCAAAATGAAAACTGACCATTTGGTCGAAATATAGCCTTATAATTTTGGTGAATGATCTCTCCACTCACATGACGTGATGGATGCATACTTAAGCATACTTAATTCAGTAATTGTGTAAGCCATGTCTACAGCCCTCGAAACTTTCGCACAGAATTTTGTTAATTTTTTAGCGTTTATATCCTTTATTTTTATCCAAAACATTAGTGGCGGGAACGTAAATTTTATGTTTTTTGTGAATATATGGATGATTGTGACATTTTTTTTTGTAAAATATGGACTTAACTTTGAAATATGGTAAAATATGGAAAATAAAAGTAGGTTTTTCACAGTCTAAATATGACAATCCATGTAAAAAACACATTCTAGACCGAAAATTGCGTAAATTAAAAATATGTATTTACATATTAATCCGGGCCCTACTTATAACACGTATACGTACATTATGTACAATTTCTTAATAAAGGTTGATTTTCGCTCATATGTATTTGTTGTTTTAAATAAACACCTAACATTAGGTACATATGTATGGTACAGACTACATATGTACATATGCAAAAAGCCCGTTTTTCTTCATATATTGGATTATCCGGACTTTCAATTATCCGGATGCCTACCGACAACAATTAGTCCGGATAATCGAGGTCCTACTGTATTTGGATATGTAAGTGAATGCATATGTCTATACTTATATGCATAATTTCTTAAATCCTATTTCAAGAAAAAATAAACAATAAAGTCACCATATCTATTTAATACACCTTAAAATAAAAAGTAAAAGCCTTTACAAATTCAAATAACTTAAAAAGTAATAGAATTTGGCAAAACGGATGGACAAATTATTTTTAAAAATTAATATAATCAGTCATAGTCATAAAATTTTAATCCAAAATACCAAAAAATTAACTGTGGTAAAGAAAAACTTACATATATAAAGCAAGATTATTAATAAGTAGCCTTCTATAAATATATATATGACGAAATGCTGTTGTAATACAACAATGATTTTTAAATCTGTTTCAGATTTTTAATTCAGACCAATTTAATATTCTATATATACACATATCTATATATTTGGAAAGTTCATAACCTGGGATGATATCTCAACAATTGTCTTATACACTCTGAATTCTTATTAAATAACTTTTATATATTTTTCATCATTATTAAAAATTGCAAGTTAAAACCAACATAATCATTGCACTCTTAGGGGGTAAATTTTATTGTGTTAATAAAAATAAAATGGAAATACTTACTCCTTCAACTACATTCCCGGCAGCTTTTGTGTGTTTGTAAAAAGTAGAAAAAGTGTTATTACTATTCTGATTTATATAATTTCATGTCTTAATAAGAGAAATAGGAACTCTTAAAATAGAAATGCTATAAAAAAGTTTTCAAAACGTAATAATGTGTTTATTTCAAAGCTATATATATTTCATTTAACATTACTCGGATCTTAATATATTTACCCCGACCAAATTATATTATAAATTATTATATATATAGTAACTATTTTGCAATATTTGGCTCCATATTGTAATAAATCTATATCTCAATATAAAGAATTATCAAATTACTATGGTCTTACTTGTTTAAATAATTACTATTTTATTTTTTTTTAATTTAAAGTAATTCTTCAAAGCCTCCTATTCTTTTGACAATAGAATAGCACTTTTTCAAACACTATCGCTTAATTTAAGAAATAATTACTTTTTATTTATCCATAATTTCATTTCACAACAATAAAGGTTTGTAACTAAGCCTTAGAAAAAGTATATTTTGGATTACATTATAATACATAAAAATCTTGTATACACCGTATTTGTAGTAGTAGCTTTTATATCTTGAATTATTTAGTTAACAAGACTAAACAAAAATATAAATAGTATTTTATTGTACTTACTGAATATAAACAGCACGAAGAAAATTCTTTTTTTTCTACCCAAAAAAGTCAAAGCACATAAAATTTTCTTTTGATATATGAAATTTGAAAATTCTATAATTGCAAACAATATATTACAATATTAAAGTAAGGTAGAATTACAACTGCACTTATTTCTAATACACAATCGCTTTTATGCTTAATGCAAGTCGACGACCGGCGAACTGTCAAATTCTGTTAAAACTTCTATACACGATCTTTCATATAGTTTCCTAAAAATTTCACTAAAATCTAAAACATCCAGTTACAAATATATAAGACTTATCTAATTAATTATTTTATGATATTAGTAACAAAAAAAATATGATATCCCATTAATCTGTTAAAAACTTTAAGCCTAAATTCATAAATCGCAGTTAACATAACAAAAAATCGTATAGTGGAAATATTGAAATACATAAACTATTAAAGCCATGCACAATAATATCTGTAAAAAGCAATAGTATGCCAATTACCTAGTGTGGCAATCGGAGGTTCCAGGAAAACGACAAAACATACTTATAAGTATTTTATAATAAGAATTACGTGTTAAAAATTATAACCTATATCTAAGACTACATGATTGCCCCGATGTTAGGATGACAATATCATTCAATAGCTTAGGTATGTGGTATCAGGAATTTTCACCTTCACACGGCTCGACTTGGTGTTCGTTCCGCGAAGTCAGCAGCGTTATTCGTTATGTGATATTTTAGTCATACAAAGATGTCACCCCGGTGATGTTCATTTAATTCTTTATATGTAGCGCGTACGTAACATTCCTGTAAATAAAAAACTACTATATTATTAATTTTAAAGGACGGTCGTGTATAGGACACTTATTTAGTAAGATGTTGGGGAAATCCCTACAATTGTATTGCCAGTGATAAACTACGACGTGGTCCAATCAAATTAATCCACGTATTCTTGTATAGCATTATGTTTATAATTATAATCATACATGATATCTTAGTGACATAATTATTGTTTTTCACACTTAACAGATGTTTCAATTTTATGTTGAACTTTATATTTAAAAATGTATAATATTAGTAGCTGTAAAACCACATTTTTTTTAATATAAAAGCTTTTTCTATTATAAAAATGTGGTTTTACAGCTACTATTAAAGAATAGTTACTCACGTGTTTTATATAAATTTTAAAAATATCTAAATAGTGATAATAAGTTAAATTTAATTTTTTGTTTAAGGATCATATCATCATACATAAGTTAAGTTTGTTTACTTTTTAATGTAATTGATATTTTCGCGTATTGCGTAATACTTAATAATTAAGTAAAATAAGTAATTTCTTGTAATACGTTAATTATGGTACTATAATCCTCATTCACTTATTAGGATATATAGTATATAAAATTATTGCAAAAGTTTTCAGCCTACTGTTTAATATATTATGGTGATAACTTCACATTTCATAGTATTTTTTATAACTAAGGAAGAGCTATAATTTAGGGACAGATAAAATAAATAATATGTTTGACTGATCCGTTCGAAAGTTTCACCCTTTATATGACTCCGTTTCTTTTAACATTATAATTTATAGTGCTAATGCGTATATTTGTATTAGATTTTATAATTCTTGTTCAATGTATTTTACTATACATAGTTGCTTGATGAAAAAAATACTATGATTATCCAAAAAAACATAATTATATTAAAAAACTACAAGCTTTATTTATTAATAGCATATTTACTTATTATCTTTTAGATATTGTTATCATCGTTAAGGGAAAAAAATCCTTACCGATTTATCAGAAAATAGATTTCTGTTTTCATATAGCTAAACCAACAAATTGACATTTGACATTTACATTTCACAAAGTCTAGAATGAAGGGTTTAGTAAACTAACCAAATATATAGTATTTTAATTTATTTAATTGGTGACATATACGAAGACGATACTTGTTTATAATATGTTTTCTTCAAACACAGCGAACTTTGTCAAAAATCATCATTTTTACTTTTATCTTCTGCTTATATTATTTACAGTAGAAGTGACACCAGGAGGTATTATAGACGATCTTTTTTAATGTTTTTATACGTCTTCTATTGATTTTTTTATAATAAACACATATTATATTATTGTAGCGAATGATTTGCACTTCTACGACGGTTCGTCGAACGCTGATATAATAGCCGGTGATGTGTTCTTTGAGATTCTGGATCCGCCAGAGTTAAGCTATACATATCGCATCAGACCGGCTAAGGACTTCGGTGCCCCCTTTGTTAGTGCAAAATTATGATAATTTTATAATTTGTTAATGTCGTTTATATTTTTTAATGTAATATATTCCATTTTAGAATAGTAGTGTAAGTTTTGAGAAAGCCCGTCTCGTCCCCACTATTCCTCTTCATAGCTGTTCAGATTTAGTTAACCAAGATGATATCATTGGAAACATTGCACTGTCAGAGAGAGGGTAAGTTTTGAAGTATATTTTATTATTTGTAATATCAAAAAGAGGTTGTATGACATTTTAGACCTGTGCTAGTATATCTTCATCAGCCTATTTTAGCCCACTGATGAGCAAAGGCCTCTTCTGAAGGCACTTGCTGAAGATGGGTTGGTGATTTTAAACTTATAATTGTGAAATTATAAGTCCAGGTTTCCTCACAATGTTTTCCTTCACCGTCTATCAATGGTTTCTAAATACTCTTAAAAAGTACATATGACTCGGAAAAATCACATTGGTACTTGCCAGGATCGAACCTGCGGCCTCATGCAGGAGAGGCAGGCTTTTAACCATATATATTTGAGAAAACAATGTTTTTGAATAACTACATGATTTAATCATTTACTTTCCATATGATCTCAAGTACTGCTAATTCAAATTCTTAAATAGAGTATAATATAATAAAAGCTGAAAAACATAGTTTTTTTATATAGGTGGTCAGGAATATATGTTTTGAAGTGAAAACCATAATACTCAAATATGAATCAGTAACTTATACTGTGACTTAAGACATCTAAATAAAATTAATTATTAATACTTTAAGACTTGTATAAGAAAAAACGTATGTTAATTATGAATATTGTTATTCAAATAGAAAATATGGGTTGTTTTAAAGTAAAAATAATATGTTTTATGCATTTTATATTATTTAAAAGTTCACACTCCTGACATTTGGGTTGCTTTTGTAGCAACCATGATCACAGGCAGATAAGTTGATAAACAAATGCTTCATAGTTAATTGTAAAAATTGGTAGTACATACATAGTTTAAAATAATAAAAAATGCATAGTACATATGATAATAATAGTTTTATTTAAAGAATACTCAGACCAATTATAGAATGATAAGGCCTTTGATACAAGCATGACGCCAATATATTGCATATTATATACTATGTTATTTAAATAAAGTCGATATGTACTAATTTCCTTTAAAATATTTCATTTCCAATTACTATAAGAATGTTATAAATATTTGCCTAATCTAAATTCTTTGTTACTATTTCCAGTGAATGTTCATTTGTGTTCAAAACATTCAAGGCTCAAGAGTCGGGGGCCCGAGCGATGATCATAACTGAATCTATTGACAGGTGGGATGAAGCATTGGATCACCTAATAGAAATGGTTGATGATAAGTATGTATATATTTTAATTCTTCTCTGTCATAAGAATACAACAGTTTGATAATCATGTGTATTATCTGTAATTCTGTGTGAAAGATCTAACTTTTTGTATTTATGTAATAGCTTCATTCATATTGGAATCAACTTTTTTCTTAAACTTTAGTTTCTAAATGTCATAAATATTCCCTATCCTTTAGTTTTCTAAATGTATTGTTTAATGTTTTATATGACAATTATTTTCATCTAATCAAAAAAAAATATTACTATAATTCGGATAAACACATATTAAAGTATGTTAAACACATTTTTAAAAAGAAAATAAAGTGAAAAGGCTCGAACCTTAGAAATTAAATAAAAGTAGAAGTATCAAAGACGAATTTTGAAAAAGTAGCAGTAGTAGTAATACTGTTTAATTAAGCAAATGTTTGCATTTGGATTTCATCGTACTTCTAGCCATAAAAATAAAAAGCAAGTATCTTTAATTTTAAACGTCGTGAACTCATAAAAATGTGACATTCTTGTGGAAGAAACAAAGCTGTCATAGATAAATAAACATATTTTTTGTTTTTAATCGCCCAAAGTATTTAAATTTCGCTTTTAAAGTGGCATATTATGATCGTAAATGCGAAAAAACTAAACCAAAGCAAGATAACTAATAACGTTAACTAATATATTAGTAACTAATAATGTTTAATCCATATATTTTGATAGTGCTTCTTTCAATTTTTTTATATAATCAAAATGTCCGACCGTACGTATGACATATGTATGATAAAATTCCAGAATGGATTTGGACGTCCACATACCTGCTGGGTTTCTCCTCGGTAGAAGCGGGGCAGCTGTTCTGAGAACTTTGAGGAAGTTACACAAACCTCATGCTATTGTAAATCTTCCTATAAACATGACACATATACCCATCAGTAGAATGAACCAACCTCCATGGATTCCGTGGTAGAACAGAAATCTCAGTAGAAATATAGTAGCAAGAAGGGAATTTGGGGCTTTTGTTTCTTATTTTCCAATATATGGTAGCAAAGTTGGCACCTTTGTTTCTTATTTTCCAAGATATGGTAACAAAGTAAACTATTATGTAGTCATACAAGCTCTTTGGTTATTTTGATGGGATTTAAATTGTTATTTAATGTATATATGTTTGTTTTGTTTTGTTATATGCTAGACTTTGGGTTATTTTGTTTATTTAAAACAATGGAGTTGTTTTTAGTTGATCCGCTCTGTATTGGGGATATTTCAAGGTTTTGAATCAATTTTGATTTCAGATTATTTAAATTCCGACTTTTTTTTTCTTTTTTTAAATCACGGGCATATATTCTTGAGCATTTTGCTTGTAGTACATATTATGATATAATTATATTATTTGGTTATAATTTAAGTTTTATTGTGTACATTATTATCTAGTAAAACTTCTCAAATTCAGTATAAATGGTATACACTACCATTTCAAAATATTTTTTTGATACCAAGTATGAAAGTATTTAGGCATCATTAAAATAATTTTTCAGTATGGGAAGATGTTAATATTAAATTCTTGAGAGACAATTTATAATTACTTAGGGAGCGTTCAAGTATTACGTAACGCAATTTTGGGGGAGGGGGGGGTTTCGTAAAACGTTACGATGCGTTACAGGGGCGGGAGGGGGTGTCTCTTACAAAACGTTACGTAGCATTGCTTCTAAAAAAATATATTGATAAAAACCCCCAAATTGGCAACTCTTTTCATATACATTACATTATGTTGACCAGATTGTATTAGTCTGGTCGATATTTTTATTTGTTATTCCAAGTTTGCAAACCTCTTAATTGATATTTTACGGGGAATAGATATTCTAGATAGATTGCTTTGTAAGTCTTTTGATGAAATTGATCACTTGAGTGTTACGTAACGTTATGAGAAGGGGGGGGGGGCTACAGAAAAACGTTACTGTGCGTTACGAGGGGGGAAGGGGGGGGTAAAAAATCTTCAAAAATTGCGTTACGTAATACTTGAACGCTCCCTTAGCACCTTGACCATGTGTATATATTTTTTTTATTTTGACAAAAAAATATGTTTAAAACTTAAGTTAAACCTGAACTGCACAACACAGTTAACAATGTTACTAAAAGTTAAACAGTTTCAATTATTTTTCTCATAATTGCTTTGGCTTCTGATAACAATTAAATGAAAATTTACAAAAAACTATAAACAAATAAAATAATACCATAGTAGATTTATGTTTGTAGATGACAGTACAAGTTAATTTGATTAACAACAGACGAAACCTCTCATCACTCCATGTATTCACAGTACGTGTGTCGGGTCCATCGTTGTAGTGAGAGGAGCTTCAACAGTCACTGGGACTTGTGACCCAGGTGTAGGTTTAAGGGTCCCTATCTAACAAGTTAAATGCTCACCTCCACTGTCCAAGCTCCTCTCTCTACCAAACCTATAATTTATTTATTATTTAAAGTTCAAAGTATGTTTTACCTCACCTTTGTAACTAGTCATCATTTGACAATATTCAGGAAATACTAAATAATATTAATCACAAATTTATTATGACCATAATATATATATACAGGGTGACTGGTGAATTACTATCAATATTTAAGGAGCATACTCGGTACATGATTCTCATTCGAATTATGTAAAAAAAATAGGCACTTAATTTTTGACAAAATTTCCGTATAAATAAATAAAGCGTAGACACGTTCCAAGTGTTCCAAGTGTGGACGCGTGCGGCGGCGTGCTGATACAACACCACGCCGCGCGCGCGTATGTGTGAGTGTGAGTGTATACCTAATCTGTAGGGTGTTCATACGATGCGTAATTAATTACATAACTTTTGGTTAACTTTACTTAGAAGTTTATTAATATTTATGTTATATTAATTTTTATTTTGTCATATATGATCGTCAAATATCACGTCCTCAAATATCGATAGTAATTCACCAGTCACCCTGTATAATAAATTTAATTTATTAAAAAAAACATTTACAATTCTTATATGAATTAATAAATATTGATTGTAATTTGAATATAATGCTTTGTTAGTTTGTTTGCTATTCAAATATGTATATTGATAAATTGGTTTTGTGTATTTTTTCAGTGTAATTAGTGGAACTATTTTATTTCCTTGCAAATCACTGTACAATGTAATACTAAAGTAATGTAATACCTAGTAAAGTGTAATTATACATATAATATTATAATATATTTAGATCATGTCTAGTCACAGTTGTAAAGTTCCCAAAATAAATAATAAGATGACAATGATATATATATATATATAGTTATTATAATAATAATTAGTTGCATTTATCTTATATATATTAAAATATAATAAAAATCCTTCAATGAAAATCACATTTTCTTTTGTATTCATATTGTGATTATATCAAAATGGTAGCTTTTACTAAATTTATTGCAGTATATTCTAACTTGATTGTAAAAATATCACTTATTTAAAGAAATGTTTTTGAGTTCACTATCTAGGATGTTCGGTATTTATATAACACATTCATTATAATAATGTTTATTATATACATATATAACAAATACAATAAATAAATACAATTTTGATCTCACTTGTATTATTTCTGAACTACCTTTTTCCTATACCTTTTATAATAATCGGTTAGGTTTGTTCAATGTCTAATGAACAAATTATATAAAACATAAAAATAGTGAAAGTTAGTAATAAATATTACTGATTTATGTACATATTGACTATATAAAAGATTTACGATACAAATTTATATTACCAATATTACGTCGGCCATTTTGAAGTTACCGCACGAAATATGGCAATTAACAAGGTAGAAAGACAATATAGTATTTACTTGTAAAGTATTTATAAAGCATTTAATATTTTTCAACTCATTTTAATATTTTCCGAATATTGTTCGGGCACTAATTATCTAACATGATTGTAGTATCGGCCTTGAATGGGGTCACTTTGACATTTAGTATAACACAAAAGTATGAAAAAAAAGTCAATTACCTACGGAATTTATGTATTCATTTTAAATAAAGGACACATAGAAAAACCCTAATATTTACAAAAGAGCTATTTCAGTTGACTCATCTTAACTATAAAATTCTCGTGTCTCGGTGTTAGAAAGAGAACTCTTTAAAAACGACTGGACCGACTTTGATGAAATTTTGTGAACATATTGAGCAGGTCTAAGAATCGGCTATCTTTTTTCATACCCTTAGTGATAAGCTTTGTTCACGCTTTTTTATTTTCGGACGAAATTTTATGTTTTCATTTTTTTATAATGTAGCATTAAAATACATACAATCCAGAATTTTGAACTTTTTTATAACCATTGTAATTTGTATAGTGCCAGTGTAGTTTTAATTTTTTTAAAACGTTTGAAAATAAATAAAATATTTGTATAACATACCTACACGTTTAAGCTTACGACTGGTCTAAATATATTCGTGATTTCAGTAAAATGAAATGTTGCATTTGCGTGTTTTGTTCGAAGTCATGCAACATTTACAAATATATTCAATAACGTTTTTTTTATGAATTCTAAAAACTATGTGTCATTGTTGATATTCGACCCTTCGTAATGCTTTTAGCCTGACAGCTTAGATTGTCAAAGAAAGGGATATTTAATCTGTATTCACGAGAAATGAAATTGATACAAATTAAACAAAAGAAATTTTTACAATGCTAATTGTTAGTTTTGTCGACTGTGAGTTTGTTTAAAAGCAATAAAAATTTATGGGTGAAAAATTTTAAGGAATTATTCTGATTTTTTATTACAATTTTGTGTTTTGTTTGTGCTATTACTAGTTACCCGCTATTTTTAACGGTACAATACTTTTAATATATATAATAAGCGTTCGTTATCGTTTACTCTGTGCCCTTATCTCGAGTTTTCATCGACAAACTGAACACTCTTTCAAGGTTTTTGTTTGTATACTTATATTGATATTGTTTTCCTGTGAGGTATACAAAGTTTAAATTCTAGATTAAAATTTTATGTGTTCGGCTTTATGTTGTGTGTTACGTCTTTACAAAAAAAAACTTCGCAAATTCAGAATTATATATAAAAGTAGAAAAGTAAATTTTTAATTAGGAAAACCTGAGTGTGAATTAAAAAAACCCAAACCTGAGTGTTTCCGTATGAATCTATGGTGAAGTTACAACCAATAATTCAATTTCAGAATAATAAAATTCGTTACAGATTTTTAGCTTAAGCACTTAAATATCTGATTTAAAAGTGAAATATAAGATTCCACCATAAGAAATCCTAATATTTGTATAGCTACATTGAAAGTTATTTAAAATTTACAAATTAATTTAAGTTCTTCTTGAGTCATGGAAAGTCTGTCAAAATCACGAGCCACAAGCATTCACTAAAAGGAAGTTCATCAAATTAACTTTATTAGGAAGCCACGATATGTATTATACTACATTTAGCCCGGGACTCCGTCTGAGAAAATATCGAAGACGAGGTCAGAGAGAAATGTATAAAGTGTGGTAAAACATATCTATGGAAGTCTACGTTCTAGCCTTTTGTTTTTAAATAACTTAGATACCGGTTGCAGCGCCATCTGCCGTTATGATTTTGGAATCAAAAACATGTGTACAATACACTTATACAGGGTGACTGGTGAATTACTATTGATACTTGAGGACGTGATATTTGACGATCATATATGACAAAATAAAAATTAATATAACATAAATATTAATAAACTTCTAAGTAAAGTTAACCAAAAGTTATGTAATTAATTACGCATCGTATGAACACCCTACAGATTAGGTATACACACACACTCACACAGACGCGGCGGCGGCGTAGTGTTGTATCAGCACGCCGCCGCACGCGTCCACACTTGGAACACTTGGAACGTGCCCACGCATTATTTATTTATACGGAAATTTGGTCAAAAATTAAGTACCTATTTTTTTTACATAATTCGAATGAGAATCATGTACC